CTGCAAATCCCTGTTGCATTTATGAACCAAACCAAATCAATTATTTCCATTCCGGGTCACAATCCCATCAAAGACGCCAGCGAAGTTACGGTTAAGACCCCATGACGCATAAAAGAACTCTGGAATGGATTTTGCAGTGACAGCCTTTCAAATTAAGGTCGGGAGGTGAGGATGAGGTGGCTGGGATTTCACAGGTCTTGCGCTCAAACCTCAGAAGGAAACAAATTATGTTCCCAATAACTTATACCAACAGAAAAAATAAAATAAAAAATTGTGGACTGGTTATTTTGTGACAGGGCGTATGTTACAAGACGAGTGGTGGCAAAACCCTCACATCACCAACAAGAGAAGAAAAGGGCAGAAATAACTTCGACACAGAGTGCTAAATCAATGACTTTAGTATCAATCTCTCTGAGAACTCGAAAGGGGTTTTCTCTCCCTTCCCTTTCTTGGGATTGCTCAAAAATCCATGGCAAAATAGAAAGGGGCAACAACCATTTACAGAAATCCCCAACCCTCTGCCACCTCATCCAACATTTTTTTAAAATTCCCACAACAATTGAGCAAACATAGCTGGAATACATGTCCAAACAATAACGTTCAACTTTAAAAGAGATATCTTTCATAGTCAATTCAGAGAAAATGGCAAAGCACCAGCACCATCTAGATAGGCTCAGATCTATCAATCATAAGATCAGAAGGAAACATGGGGTTGAGAAACCGTCATGGCTGCAAAATCCTAGTTGCATTTATGAACCGAAACAAGTCAAGTTGTACCGGATCACAGTGCCATCAAGGTTTGCCCAGCCAGACGAGATTCATTAACTCCATGCCTCATAAAGAACTCGAGAAAAGATTTTTATCATCACAGCCTTTAAACAGACCCTAAACCCTTAACCCTTGAAACAGAAATGAGTGCACTTTAGGACAGCTGGAAGCATCGTCATCATCACCAGAAGTAGAAGCAGCAGCAGTGACAACAAGAGTGAACAGCAAACTAGCGAAGGTCATGTTCTCTTTTAGTCAAAGGGCTGTTTGATTTTAAAAGTTAGGCTTGGAAATCACTGGCAAAACAGAGAGGGGAAACAACCCTTTAACTCCCCAGCTCTCTGCAGCCTCACCCAACTATTTCCTTGAAGAGTCTCTTTCAAGCCTCGAGCAGCCAATAAGAGTTTGAACCAAACGCCACCTTAGATAGATACTGAGGCGCATATCCTTCAATTATTTTTCGGAAAAACAAAGTTACAAACAAGTACATGAACAAAATCCAGTCATATTTAGTAAATAACAATCACTACATTCTTTTAAGACCAGACCAGCATGCCCATGCGCAGAGCTAAGTATCTGTAACTAATACGTGAAAGGATCACTCATGGGAGCAGCTCCTTAGCACACCTTCTGGCCTCATTTGTTACCTCAGCTTCTTGACTGGGTACATCAAGATCGAAGAACCAATGTAAACCACAAGATCCAACCATTTTATAATGTGGATCAGCAATTATCTTCTCAAGGGAAATTGCATTTTCAAGGAAACACTTGACCAGTCCAAATTCAGTTGAACTGCATCAAAATTCAAGTATCTCAAACACTCTAAGATGTTGAACAGGGTAATTTAAAACATGCTCTGACTCTCTGCTGGCCTTTATTACAAACAGGTATACTGTCTTCACCACAAACTTTTCCCGGTTTGGTGATACCTCATACCTCAATGAACCAAGTCCAAACGTGCCCTCTTCTATAACTAATAAAAGCAGTAGAGATAGGAGTTTAGCAGGTAGTTGATATAGTTTCCTATCATATTCTCTAGCGGAAGCATGAAAGCGGGAGAACATTTTCACCAGCATCACCACCAGAGAGGATGCCAATATGAAAAAGTCGGGAAGCATGATAATATTGCTTATAATGAGGGTTTTCAACCAACAAAAGGCAAATTTCAAGTGTGGTTATGCAAGAGATTGACCATAAACTTCCAAAGTTGTTAAATCTTAAAGAGCAATGCACACCCAAAGTTTCAAGATTAAATTGGCAGTAGAGCGACAGGAATTACAGAGTGCTCCAACAGAGACACGTTTCAAATTCAATTCTTCTAGGGAATTCCAACTTCGATGTGCAAAAATGGTAGAAGGAAAAAACACATCTCTCAGTGACAGGCTCACTTTTCGGACTTTGACTGGTTGAAATTCACTAATTCAATTTTGAATGAAAGGAATCAAGCATATTTAATCTGAACAACTTACTCAAGACCAAGATCAAATGGGACTGTAGCACCTCATTTACCCAGTATAACAATCCGATTCAATAAAAGCGGAAGCAGAGAAAGTTTATTTGAGTTCTAATGAAATAAACTATGCATTTTCGTTCGAAATCACACCAAAGAAATAGTGATGCTATAATGAAGAGACACGACCCTGATGCCCGATAGAGACATTCCATGAACCAGAGGGGAAAACAAAACCAAATCTAAAGACAAGGCCTCCTCCTCCCAAAATATGCAAGAGAAACAAAGCCTTACATACTCATTCGCTTTATGCCCATCGAGTAAAACAAAGCAAGAAAAAAATAAAAACCCATAGCCGATGAACAAAGGGTTCGGGTCAACCCATTACATGGTAGGACTGGGATGAAAGGCTCAGATCAGGGTAGAGAGCATTAGAGGGCAAACACCGCCGTGGCTGCAAACCGCAGTTGCACTCCACGATGGGAGCGCCATCAGGGTTTACCCCGCCAAGATACGGGTCGGATCACCTCAAAAAGTCCCCGAATGAACTCAAGAACAGATTTTTCGTATCTTCATAGCCCATTACAACAACACACAGAGAGAGAGAGAGAGAGAGGCAAATCCCACGTTTCGGAATGAGGTGTCGGAAATGGTGGTGGTGATGGAGACGAAGATTAATTTATAGATAGTTCTACAGTACTCAGAAGCACACAAACACACACACACACACACACAGAGATGAAGCAACTGCACATCTGTGAAAGATAATAAAAAGGGCTGTTGGTTTGCTCCATGGGTTTAAGAAGTGAAATCATCGGGGCTAATAGAGAGAAGGGCAACAACCCTCAGAGAATTCCCATATTTTCTCTCTGAAACCCTCATTTAACTCTGTCCCAGTTCATTCCTTCGTGTACACGACGCCCTAGAGCTAGCTCTTTCTTCTTGCTTTACATGTCCAATTTTATCTTATTTAGATAGATGCCCCCTTCAATTCACATTTTATCTATTTGGGACCCAAGCCCCAAAATTTTATGGATTTTTGGGTTCATGGTTTTTTTTTTGAATTGTGTTTTTTTTTCTGATGAAAGCACAAATATGCTAATGACAAATTTGTTAATTTTGTTAAATTTTCATACTTTGTGTATGGTAAAGGTAACCCAAATGATTGTCCAGCGTTTTGTTTGGAAGAGTATCATCATTTATACGAGGAAAATAATAACAACATTTTGATGACTTAATAACAAGATAAATAAGCCAATGCTGCCATTACCTTCTACCATTCTTCCAAATGTTGCTGCATTTATAACACGGAATGTAAAGGTAATGACTGCAGATTTACAGAAACGATTTACCAGTAGGCAATCATGAACTATTCTCCTATCATCCTACTCTTGAATATTACAAAGTTCTGAAATTCTAACAAGTGGATTTCGATGATCTTGATTGTCCTTTATACCTCAATTGGTACCTGCGGGGATGTATGCTTCAATGGTATGTCATCACCTCATTGTGCTTGGAGAATTATTCAATTCTTGTGCCAAAGGGTTCATATCATAATCAGAGTTAACCATTTAGATAATATGTCACAGTAAACCAATATAGCTACACAATAATCACCCTTCTCCCCCATGTTATTCAGAATGCCCTTTTTCAACTCATAAAAAACAGGTTTAATGGGAAATGGCATCAGTAAAAAATAGCAAACTAGAGTCAGAATTGCACTTTTGCATTTTGATAAAAATCACAGAATACGAATAGGAATGCAGTAACGGAGGAACACAAAACTATCATGGACCGTTAGATTCCTCAGAAAAAAACAACTAAGCTAAGATCTCAATTCTCAAATAAAAGATGCAGCTAAAACCAGTAAACAAAAACAGAAGATATCAGAGGCTACAACAGCATAACATGATACAGATGCGAAAAATTCCTCCAAAATTATAAACCAGATCTCCATCAGAAGATGAATTGGACAAAAACCCAAATTCAACCAAACTCTAAACACCAAAATGCGACGATAATTGAAAGATTAAGGCTCAGATCCGTTAGAGCGGAGAGCTCAAGAGGCGCAATCACCGCCATGGCTGCAAAAAAAAACCGCAGTTGCAAAATCAAGGGAGATTGCCATCAGGGTTTTTTGCCCCGCCAAGTTACGGGTCAGACACCTCAAAAGCTCCGAATGAACCCACAAGAACAGATTTTTTGTTGTCTTCATAGCCCATAATAATAAAAGAGGATCAAAACCCACATCACGAAATCGATCAATAATGGAAGGAAACAGAGGGAGTAGTACTAGTTTCTTATGACGAGGAAGATGAGCAGATGTTTGTACCAAAAATCTCTCTATCTCTCTCTCTCTATATATATATATACATACATACAAGCAGTCACGCGCACGGAGATTGAAAGATCTCCGAGCTGTGAATCGCCATAGAAAGGGCTGTTGGTTTAATTCGTTCACTTTTGGAGTGAAAAGATCATCGGGTAAATACAGAGAAGGGCAACCACCCTCAGAGAAATCCCATCTCTCTGTAACCCTCAATTCGCTTCTCTGTTCTGGGGTTCATTCGGTCCACTAAAGCTGCCTTACACAGAAAACTCTTCTTATTGGGACTTGGAAGGGTCAAACTTTTTTATTAGGAAAAGATACCCTTCAGTTCTTATAAATTTCAAAGAAAGCCCCAAAAGTTTCTTGGATCACGGGTTTTTCTCCTATTTGTTTTCTCAAATTTTTAAAGAATACTCTTCACCATTTCAATCCGATTAAAATACTCCATCCGTCCCGAAATTATTGTCCAATTCGGATTTTCATTTTTAGTAAAAAATGAACCAAAATTAAAAAATCTAAACTGGACAATAATTTTAAGACAAAGGAAGTAGTAAAATTTAACCAATGTACATATGCCTTAATAGATTCGTAATTCCATTTTCTTACATACATGTTATTGTCCAATTCGGACAATAATCTAAACTGAACCTGATCATTCTCCATTCGTATACGTACTCAGATTTTGCTTTTGATCATGCTAAATACAATGCAAACACCAACAGAAAAATCTCCAAATGACACTACCCATTCCATCCCATCTGATCACTTGTTACCAATAATTTTACAAACTGGACATTTTTCCTGTGTGAATTCCCTGCGTCCCCATGTCGAATTCTAGTCTGTCAAACTGATAAAATTCATCCGTCCAAGTACAGTTCTATAACAGAACTCTCTTTCGTACCACAGAGTTTCTGTCTTTAGTAGTTCATCATCATTCCAGCCAAATGACAGCATGTAGGAGACCTTTTTCTAGTTTAACTTCATCCTCAACTAGATGATGTTGAGTTGGTGAAACAATCATGTAGCTTCTACATGGGGTCAAAATCAATGTAACCATGATGCCGACACAAAAAAAAAAAAAAGGGTATTACCGCCAAACGCTAGACGAGAGGAAGCGAACAAATATTGAACAACCAACGCATCAAAGAATGGTTTCAACTATCAACGAATGCTACATAACTTCTTTGCCGATTTGTTTCTGTTCAATTTTTTGAATAACTTCTCCATTCAAGCTCAATAAATAAGTCACCTACAAGATAGGAAGAAAAAAAACATCAAATTGATTATCACTGGAAAGATATCCTGAGTTGTGAGTGAAAATGTAGATGATGTGAACTTACAAACTCGAAGGAGCCGACCCTGTGAAGAAAGAAGCCATCTACTGCTTCCCTGGAAAAATAGATACAAACCAAAAGCAAATGAAAAATTGTATCAGAGTCCATAGCCGAGGGGAAGCATACTTTATTGTCAGAATTAGGACTTCAGAGGAGGATAAGGTTTGAAGCACTCACTTGCAAATAGGATGTAACTTATTCACAGGAGTAATGCAAGGTCCTTTGGTCATCGGACTAGCATCAATAAGCTGTTCTGCAGTTCTTACCGAAATGTATCTCCTGAAAGTGTCGCCACTCAAATATGCATCCTAAATGAAAAAATGCAGATGCATGATCCATCTTTTTAAATTTTAGAGATATTCAAAGTGCAAGCTTCAATTTCGATAAAGCAGGCAAGATAAATAAACTTGATTTCAAGTCATTTACGAAATACTTGACAAGATACAACACTCAAGTTTGCGTATAATCCATAACAAATCAGATCAATACAAGCAATAATTACCACCCCATAGTTGAGAAGTATATGGTGGAGAGAATCACTGCTCTTTTCGCCTTCAGTAGTTACATTACAAGATGACAATGGGTGGAAACCGACAACAATGCACCTTTGACGATCCAAAACAAACATAGGAAGGATGATTAGAAATGTACGTATTTATTGGCCGGGAGTAACTCCAGAAGTATGCAGCTGTTTCACAGGGAAGTAGACAAAACTTACCAATCACTAATATTTCTTTCTAGCGTCTTTGTCAGCCATGATAACTGAGTTTTCCGAGCATCGCTCGAAATACCCTAGAGATAAGAAGATCATAAAACAGTCTGTGAAACAATGTTTTAGTCCTTCGAAGAAAGGAATAAGAAGAGACTGCAACAGAATGATTAATTAAAATGCATCAAGTAACCATACTGCAAGCCTAGAGACAAAATGAAAGCAGAAATTTCACCAATGTTTCTTATTTTGTTATTTATCAGTTTGATGACCTCCTATCAAGACATGATTTCCAGATTCCTGATCAATGCAGTCAAATAGTGAAGAACTGTTTGGCCATGAATCCTAATTCATGTAAGATGACTAGCAAATGCTATCAAAAGATTCTGATGGAATCAAGCCCAATGAATCAATGCTAGTTTTCAAAGATGAGCACGATTAATACCTGAAATAGCTGTGTATTGACGAAAACAATGTCCAAGGTCTTTCCATATGGGATCTTTGTACACTTGAGGTAATGACCAGCTCCTTGTTCATCGAATGATTTTGTCGTGTACCTACAAGTTTAGATAGCTGAAAAGAAATCGATGGGGAAAAAAACCTATTCCCAGACCATCTTGAAGATTCAGCACTAAACAGGCAAAATATCACACGTTATGGAGGATGGTGTACCAGGGAACTTTCAGGGACCGAAAATACCGTGTTCCCTGTTAGGAATTACATGTTAGTGGTCCGTAGCTAAAACAAACAAGCTAGTATATTAATCTCCGAATAAATTCTCGAGCACCTCGAATTGGACTATCACAACAACACAGAACTACTAGCCAAGATTCATTTCATTGAATATATGACTAGAAATCAGTTAAAGTATCTAGCAAAGTGCATTCAAGAAAGAGGATTTGCACATCTTACATTCAGGCGTAGAGAATCATCTTGTCCAAGTTCACTAATGCTCACCACAAACTGTGCTTTGAACAATTCCGCAACCTTTGCCATCTTCATCAACATGGCGCAGATTCCATTCAACCAGGCAACAAACATAAGGAAGACAAGTCAAGATCATAACCATAATATACAAAGAAGAATTTTTATTCAGAAATGACAAAAAGTAAAAATTGAATGGCCTTGATTGGATGGATTATAAACTGGTACTACATGGAATGCAATACTTCAGAATAATTTCTATGAATCTAATCAGCGGTGATACAAACTTCTTTCTGTTTCAAGTTTCAACAATTTCACAAGAACAAAATTTTGAAAATCAGAAGAACTATCAAATCTCAACGTAGACGTACAAAAAGTTTCCAATAGCTCAAAACAGATTTCTTTAAGCTACATAATTGAAAAGGATTGGAAAAGCACAGCAATTTTATCAACAAGAGAGGGGAAAAAAGAGAACTTCAAACAAGCTGACCTGTCTGAGAAGAAGGGTCTGTTCATTTTGTGGCCTAAAATCTCCTGCAACACTGATGAAGTAGAAATCAAAGGGTTTAATGCTTTCAGAAGTCCCGCCATTCTGAAAGAAAGCTTCTTGAGGTTGACCCACCTTGAATGCAAGGTAAAGAGCAAAACAGAGGGAAATCTGAGTGGCTAAAGTACAAACCCATGAATTTTGTTTCATTTCTTTTTCTATCAATGGCCCTCAATCCCAGAAAAGCTTAATCAGATCATAGCCTCCCAAAAAGAAAGCCCTCAACTTTTTTTTTTTCTTCTATTTCTTTATCGGACAAATCGAATGATTAAAAAGCTGACATTAGATCCGATAAATACTGAAGTCATAGTGTGTTCCAACTTCCGACATCTGGAATCACTCATTTCACAAAACCATGACGTTACAATAACTTGTCTTATGATTGAATTTATCCATGGGGTACATGAGCACATGATACAGTTTGATGTCCTTTTCCTAAAAATGGAGAAATCTGGATTTGTGCTCCTAACCGGATTGTTATCAGCGCGGGCAAATCGTGTTTACTGGGATAACTTCAATTTTACCACTATTGACTACTGAGCTCTGAGCCGAAATTACATGTCTAGTTTTTTACTTTTCCATATGGCGCTATTAGTCCAGTTTTTTTGCCATATGAACAAGACTGAGGGGAGTAAGTAAACTGTATGCTGTTATTAGTTCAATTTCTTTATATGTATATATATAAAAAAGTTCAATTTCAAATCCCCCAAAGAAAGAAAAATTGGTTCAACTTTGTTTAGTTATTACTCCTATTTCAAAAACAAACCGTCCACCTTGAGTTTCAAGATTTGTAAGTGAACTTTTCTTTTTCTTTTTTTTGAGACAGAAGGAGTATTATAATATAAATTGTCTGACAAATTAAAAAAAACAGATTAGAGCATTCTTATATTAAAAGAAATCAGTTTGGTAAATGAAATGATTTTTTTTTTTTTTTTTGAGATCTTTTCAAATCGAATTGAGACGAAGAGAATAACTCAAAAAAGTTTAAGATGTGCAAATGAAGTTCCTTCCCTCTGATACTCCAAGGAACATCATCAAACATTACAAATGAACTTTATGCTCACTACTTTTCTCTGATACTTTTTCTCCTTAGTCTAGAAGCTGATTAGTGTTTCTCATTCTTGCCTAAAATGCTTTTTATGAAGAAAACAAAAATTAAAAATTATCATTAACTAAAAGTAGAGCAAGTAAAACTTAAAAAGAGTGATGATACGCAGCACGAAGGAACAACTCAAAAAGTCTAACACCAAGGAGCTGGCCATCAAGTTGGATAACAAGGGTTCCCTCTCAAAATCTCCTTGGTGCCTGAGATGCACTGTTTTTGTGGAATCTCGCACATGTTGTCCACGACTATCGCCGTCTCAATCTAGTCACCCTCGATCAAGCATGTCTACCAAAGTCATCCTCCGTGGGAACCTTGGCGGTAATCTTAAAACCATTGCGTCTTCGATCTTAATCGGCAAATGAGTAGCCACAATGACAATGCCACCTTTCTTTCTATGTTCTGCAATAATATACTCCAACAGTTTCACCCCATCGTCGTCCAATGCGACGGACGGTTCATCAAGCAACCAAATTGGGCGATCAATTGCCAGTAAACGTGCTAGCTGTAGTCTTTTCCGTTGACCCATCGAAAGCATTCTTGCTTTGTCTTTTGCTAATCTTCCAAGCCCCATAAGCTCTATAGCAGGCAAAGACCTGCTACCGTCCTTGCCTTCAAGAACTTCAAACCATTGAACATTGTCAAGGACTGTAAACTTCTCCTTGATAGCATCTTTAAGTGAGAGCCAGTTGAGTTGAAGCTTATATTGATGGAAAACACCAGAATCCGTAATGTCATGTCCATTCCATAGTATCTCACCCGCAGATGGTTTAGAAAATCCTGCCAACATGCGCAAGAAAGTGGTCTTGCCTGAGCCATTTGTGCCGGTCAGAACAAGGGCACTACCATCATGAATAGAGGCATTTACATGGCGCAGGATTTGCTGAGCATTTCTCATGCAAGATACATTATTTAGGAGAAGGCGAGGAAGCGGAGGTTTACGTAGAGACATCACTTATCTGCAGTATAATGTACTTAAGAACGGTGTTAAATGTCCAACTTAGATGGTGGATAGAATTCCTACTGCCCAAACCAGGTACAAGCTGCAAACTTTAGATGAGAACAAAGCTCCTGCAAAGTTGAAAATGAATTACAACTTAGTAATAAAACAATTAATGAAGATATCCTAGCCCAAAACAATGAACTATAATTTGTTGAACAGAAAATGGCGTTCAAAATATGAATGGAACGATTCATATGTTGCTTTAAAGTATCATATTAATCTACATTCATTCCAACTACTGTTAAAACCACTTAAACACTATACCTTGAGGAAGCTTGGACTGTTATCGTAGACCTGCAATCCCCTTTTCTGAAAAGTTTCTAATCATTGATGTGACTAACAATGACATTCAACTAAATGAAGTAAAAACCTGTTCAATATGCTCATCATTACAGTTTTTAGGAAAATAGAAACAGAGGAAGAAGTTGAAGTGGGTAGGCGAGGAGGAGAAGAGGATAGGGATGGCAATATTTATGCTTAAGCATACACCAAATTGGAATTTAACATCTAAACTGCTACAAACCATTTCTTGTCAAAAACTCCAAAACAACAAAAAATTCAACCCAAAAGTAAGGCCAGCACACGTTCCAATCACATCAATGATAACCCGAATGCATGCCAAACATACTAAAGGTCCATGTCATGGCACAATTACTAGAAAATACCCAATGATGAACAAGTTAAGCCATTTCCAACTACAAAGGAAAATGATCATGAGCTCTCACTTGCTATACCCTGCGCCACGAAAACCAGTTTTCCCTTCGTAACTGGGAGATATGAAACCTAGAACATCTGTACACTTCCTTCCCCCTTACCATCCAATTCAACAACCCATATACAACCAAAGTGCACAATGGTGCTCCCAACATTACTAGTTCATGCTATCTTGCGCAACATGTGTCAAAATGTTTCATATTGTTCCTCATAATGGAATAACATTTAAGTATCCTACATATTGGAAAAAATTACTTAAAAGCAACAAAAGATCAAATTTAAACACTTTCATCAGTCAAACATCAACAAAGAACCACAAGCAGAAGCGTTCAAATGAAGGAAAGAGCACAGAGATAGACATTCAAGACGAGTGCCAATCTTTAAAAAATTGCAAGCACACCCAAAACCATAGAAGATGAAAACTCAACCATAAAAATGAACAAAACATCATCCAACTCTGTATTTACGCTTTACAGCATATACAATATAAGAAACTAACTGAGCCAAAATGATGGAACAAGATATATAGACTTCATCATGGATTTTAGAAGAGAAGAAGATGAACTCAAGCCTTTTCCGGCCAGGGAAAAAGATATATAGACTTTATCATGGATTACATTCAAATTTCCAGATTTTCCAGTGACTGATATGCGACGATCTAATCGAATTTCTGGACAAACCAGAAATTCATTTAATCTGAAATTGCCTCATTAAATTGGGTTAAACAAAGAAGACATTCATAAAAAGAAATCTTGAAAACGGATCCAAATAACGATTCTTAAATAACAATTCCAATAGGTCACTTTAAATAGTACAAGAGAATTTAAGTTCTACCAAAGCTGATCAATTATGGGTTCACAATTTAAAACAAGATATAACAAGTTAATCCCAATTCCAGCCTTCATGTAAACATTCAAAAACATGCAAACCATTGATTTCTCAAGCGCATATCTTGAAACCTTTAAGCTCCAATCAGTAATTCTTATCATGCCTCAAACTTTCCAAAAAATCTGATCTTGTAACAACCTTACATACAGCAAGTTAATAAGTCAAATTGGTCAAACGCTTCGTAGAGACCTCACATAAACATGTTAGTGTAGGTTATGTTTCATTGATTCAGAAACTAATATGCATGCCAAATCAATCCCTAACAAATCATAAACTTCTTAATCTAAGCTTTATAATTTAATTCATAGATTCGAATCGCCATTTTATGCTTTCTAATTCATCTATGCCAGTATTTCAGAAATAAATCGACTGGAATCAAAAGCTTACTGTTTTAGGCGTTTCAAAGTTGCTCCACGAAGTCAAGAGTTTAAGCTCGTCTAGTTCCCTGCTGCTGCAATTTTCCGTCGCCTGAACCAATATTCTTCAGCACCATTTCTATTGTTTTGCTGGGACAACGGGGGAGAACTAGAGGATGAGGCATTGGGATATTGGGGAAATTAATCCGTCCAGGACGCCGGCGAGATGATTTCAACAGCCAAAGAACGCCGGAGAGATAGTGGGGATCGCCGACCACTGATTAAGGGTTATTCATCGCCGTTGCCGTTGTTGTGACTGTGAACGAGAGGGGGAAAGGGGTGAAGGGCTACTTTGTCGATTTTGTCATTTAAACTAAATAAAGGGCAGTGAAAAACAAAAGTGAAAAATAAAAAAAAAGTGGATGAAAAAGAAAGTTCATTTTACTCTGATTCGATTAACCTGCAACTACCAAATTCGAACTTTGAAATAACTGTTTCATTTCCAAGGTTATCAATCTCTTTCACATCATCACATGTGAAAGAGATTTATTCACCGTTCAGGTTATATATATATATATATATATATATATATATATATATATGTATTCACCGTTTCTTTCCACCTGTTTAGAATCCAAAATATTTATGGTGTACTAAATCAAAGCTAAATTTAGGCTCAACTTACTTTCTACAATTGTTGAAGAGATACAATTGGCAACATAAGTTCGTAAGTAGACAGTTTAAGCTAAGAGAAATCAAGAAACTCAGGGCTTCACAACTGGCTACTGCAATACTATGACCTTGTCCCCCTACATACGACGGCAATCATGTGAATGAAACAACAAACAATGGCTGAAGCCTGAAATTGTGATTTAAAAAAAAAAAAAAAACTCCTTATACCAACACTTGCTTGACCAAAGTGGTTCCCTTAAGCGAAGTCTTGGGTTTTGAATCTCGTGAATAGAAAGAACAATATTGGAAACATTTTTTCTCCGAAAAGAGACTCACCCGACTCGGTGTATATTAATCTGAGTGTAATGCACTTAAGACACTATGCACAATATATATATATAAAAAAAAAAAAAACCTTATAAACTAACATCAACTTGAATTACGGTGGTACTAAATTCATGTATAATATAAATCTCGCCATTTTATAAATGAAATATATTGATGACCGTAGATGAGTTCATTGTGATCTTTTCCTACACTAAAAAAACACAATAATTTAAATTACTCTCGAAAAAAAAATAATTTAAATTGAGTTTTTGTCCTGCTTTTAGTAAACATTTAATTTGTGGACTTTTTTTTTCTGGAAGAAACATTGGAAAGGTGATAATTATTATGGAGGGCATGGATAATATTTATTTATTATAAAATGTTTTTCATTTTTTTCAATTAACAAAAGACCAAAAAATCTCTCTTCCTTTTCCATGACCTACTGATGAAATCTGATTAAAGTTTGGGAATCAATTCAATACAAACGAAATTAATAAGCCTAGCACAATGACACGTTTAATTAACTCAACTATTTTTACATCGTGGCATCTTATTTGAACCTCCTCTGATAAAAGGAGAGAGCTTATAAAGAGAATTTGTCTTTGTCCAAAGTAAAGAGATAGTTGATGCTTAAGTTTGATGTAGTTTGGAAAATGCCTCAATATTGGAAAGAATAATTAAGTAGACCATTTTATTAAATATGAACTCAGATGTGTTATGAAAAGAAAAGAAAATTTTTCAGGCAGCTTTGCACTAATGGATCCTAAAATGAAAAGCATTTGTTGGGGTTGAGAGGAAAAAAAAGGATAAAGTAATAATTTTGTAGATAAAGAAAAATCCTAAAAGCAATTTAAAATTGATGTTAATGAGGTTGATGATATTTGTCGAGGGTAAATCCCGGGGGCGGAGAGTCAACGGCCCGACCTAGACAGGAACCTGCAAAACGGAGGTTAGCACTCTGAAGAATTATTTATAGGTTCCAATGGGACAATACCTGTGGGCCCCCGTGTTGGGAGGGGCATAAGCGTAAATAAACATGTGTTTATTCCTTTTAACCCGGCTGGGCCGTTAAGAAGGAATAAATGGGCCTCTTGGGCTTACAAGATAAGCCCAAGCCGGATGGCCAGTTGGGCTGGTCAAAATGGGTCAGAGTTGACCCCCAACAAATGCCCCTGTCAAGCCCAATGCAGCAAAGCCGGATTGGGCTTGACACAAAGGAATTGTAGGTCCAACAAGCCAGCCCAACTTCCGGAATCTTCCACCTCACGACCGCCCTAGATCCAACGGCCCTTGGTCCTTCCCGCTCAAATGGGATGGACGTGCAGAATTTTATGGGGAGCCGTGCCATAATGATGGCACCGGATGAAAAATCGAGGGGACTGTTCCTCTCCTCTGGAGTATATAACTCCTCCACAGGACACCGAAATTCATTTTTCTCTCTTTTGCTTCCAAGTTCCAAACATACAGAGCTCCGACTTCTTCTCTTCTCTTTTCTTTTTCGTAAATCAGAGCACATTGCCGTTCGGGAATCGGAATCACGGCCGGCGACTGACTGTAGCGGTTTCTAATCGACCCTTGACGAGTAAGTCTCCCTCTTCTCTTGTACGTTCGATTAACCACATGGCCAAAGAGGCAGTTAGGGTAGAGGACATTGAGTGTTCGCTAAACCAAGATAGGTTAAGTGACTTAGAAAACCACTATAGCCTTACGGCTATCAACTCCACCCTACCAGAAGGTCATGAGAGAGCCAGTACTCCCCCTCCGGGGAAAATCACAATTTATGAGAAGTTTTTGGAATATGGGCTGCACTTTCCCCTGATGCCTATGTTCCAGATGATAGTGGAAGCTTACGGCCGACCCCTAGCCCAATCCACCCCGAACCTCATAACCATAGTGTTACCCTTCGTACACGTATGTAACAAGACGGGGGTGGAGCCAGATATTTTCTTATTTAGGTGTTTTTACAAACTCGTCCGGTGCGGGAAGAGTTTCCCCGGGTGGTTCAGCTTCACCAAAAATCCACACGGGCCGTCCAAAGAATTAGTAGCAAAGAACGAGAGTTCCAAGCATTGGAGGTCGGGCTTCTTTTACGTGGACCAGACTTTGTCGCCCTATTTCCGTGGACGCCGGACGAGGGAGGAACGATCAGCTTAGATCCGTGGACCAAGAAGGATAAGAAAGACATGGAAGCCCGGAGGGGGGACTTAGAGAAATTGGTCGGGTGGAAGAAGACCTACACCTATAGGCAAATTACATCGTTAAGCGATACGATCAGCTCCCGTAACCAAGGTATTTTACCTGAAGACTAGCTGTGGTTATTTTTCTGTTGATAGGTATATTTACTAATCTGATGGGTAAACGCTCGGCTTTTGATGATTCAGACGAGGAGGAGCAGTATCCTGAGGAGAGGCCGCAAGGAACTCCCCAACAGGAAATGGGTCAGGCGCCCTCCGGTCAGATGACGTGGGTGCGTGCAAAAAGTTCGAGGAAAAGGAACCCCTCGGGTCAAACCTTGGGTCATCAAAAAAGGAAGCGGGGAGATCCTAAGGTGGTGGAGGTCGACCCTCTGTCCTTCAGCTTGCCCGCGATCCACAAAATATCCTCCATTGACGAACTTTTGAAGGAGGGGTATGAGGATCAAGGGTGGGGGGCAGGTCAGTTCGAGGGCATACTCGAGGGTCACGCCCTGCTGATGTTCGACCCTCCACGGGTCGAATGCGCGGACTTGCCCGCCACCGGAGTACCGCGGCTTGAGGACGGCATGAGACAGGTAAAACTTTTTGCCTAAGTATTTACTCTTCGTACATGGAGGGTTCCCTTACTGATCAAGGGTATCCGTCATACAGGCTGTGCAGGCGGTGAACTCCTTCGTGTCCGTGTGCGCGGACTTGGAGGGACAGCTGGCTTCGGCCAGGAGGAAGGCCGTCAGTGAGGCCAACAAAGCCAGAGAGGCTGAGACGCGGCTCCAGGCCCTGGAAGAGGAGAGTTGAGAGTCTGCTGGCAACGAGCGTCCCCAAATCCCGCCTGGACGCGTACATTCTCGCGGGGGTTCAGAGGTACTTGGGGTCGTCCGAGTTCGCCCTCGGGATAAACGACATCATGGACCCTGTCATGGAAAGAGGGGCGAGGAAGGCCCGGAAGCACTTTCGGGACATGAACTTCGCACAGCTCCCCATCATGCAACAAATCACTGGGACTTGCCCCTCCATCTCAAAGCCCGAAGACATCCTGAATATCCTGGCAGCCCTTCCTTCGTCTTTCAGATGCCGAGGGAATACAAACGCCTCCGAGCACGCCGCCGGGACCCGACGAGGAGCCGGAGATAGTAGGACCTGCACCACTTCCCCCCCAAGGGGCACAACTCTGGAAGCCGCGGAGGAGGGGGCACCTCAACCGACTCCAGCACCAAAAGCGGAGACAAGGTGAACGATGCGTAGGATTAGGACTCATCATAGTGATCACCTGTCTTCGGGGTCTTCTCCCCATTGTAACTCTTAACCGAATATTAATGAATTTCTATTTTATTCATGGCCGACTTGTTATTACTTGTTCCATTACTTGTTTGTTTCATTACTCGTTTCAAACTTTCAAGCTTTAACTTTCAAATTTCAAACTTAGTTTCAAGTCTTTGTTCGTTGGCTCAATATTACTTTTGCCTCTGAGGCTTCTTTCTAGCCCGCGCCCCCTAATCTTTCCATTAACACGCGCTTCCTTTCAGGGGAAGAACGCGACTTCGGACTTCCCCCACCAGCCCGAGGGAACCTCTTGAGGTGTGCCTGCGACTCCGGGTCATTAGGAAATGTTCGGGATTCCCTGGATCGACCTACAGTTGTCTGACCCTCATTACGACCCGACGACCTTTCCGCTGTATGCGGCTGTCGGAGGCGCTTTGGTAGATCTAGCCGTCTACAGGAGCCGAGGACGGCTGTCGGATCTCGAGGGCCAGCTGGAAGAGGCCTTAGAAACTTTCAGGGCCTCGGAGCTGCACGAGGCAGGCAGGGCCGCCGTAGAGGCGAAGGCCGAAAACGACCGGCTGGATAAGTTATGGAGGGACACGGAGACCTACTGGGAGGATCACCTGAAGAACTCCATACAGTTAGAGATATTGGCCAACAATCGCCTCCCGACATTCGAAGCCAAGATACGGAAGAAAAAGAAGGACGAGGGCTTGGCCAAACCAGACCCGGAGGATTTTATTCCCCGCAATTATTTCAAGAGTGTCTTGGTACATCTCCGGAAGGCTTACGCCTTGGTTGCTGTAAAATGGGATCGGTCCTCTGACAAGATTGAGGCTCTTCGGGCGTATGCTGGTCAGCTTCGGGCAGCTTTGGAAAGCGTGATATCTTTTATCGTAGAGACGGGAAAGGAGTATGATTTCGAGGCATTGTGGCCCGAGCCCTGTCCGGCCATGCGAGACGACCCCACTTCTCCAACTCGCGAAACTGAACGCCTGATATATGAGAACGACGCTCTGTTTTACGAGTTAGGTCAAGAGTCTCACTAGGGACATGTAACTAGGTTGTTAGGTGATTTTTGGTGTGTTTTTGCTAAGTGTATAGATCCGAGGGCCATACCTTCGAAAATTCACACATATATAATTTATTCGTCCTTTTTGAACATCGACTCGTTTTTGCTTTTCCTCATTTATTTGTTTTATTATTTATTCAAGATTTTACGGTTGTATATGTAAAATTTTGTGTATTGCCGACGCTCTTTGCTATGATCTGAGGGAGGTAATATGAGTGCCTTCCCCCGGATTTTACATTTCAACTGTATTATTAATGTTGCGCTAATTAAGTCGATGTTTAGTTAAACCATACCTGGTCAAGGGCCGCGGGAAATTAGGAATTCCGTTGCCGCGAGGTCTGTTAGGTGCCGTCGGCCACTGGGCTCGAGACGGCTTTGTAAATGCCCCAAGGTCATAGAGACCATAAGGGTTCGGTAGGCCGCGGAAGCCACACGGTGTCGTCGGCCGCTGAGGTCGAGACGACTTTGTAAATGCCCCAAGGTCACGGTGACCGTAAGGGTTCCGTAGGCCGCCGAGGCCACACGGTGCCGTCGGCCACTGGGGTCGAGACGGCTTTGTAAATGCCACAGGTCACGGAGACCGTTAGGGTTCCGTAGGCCGCGGAGGCCACACGGTGCCGTTGGCCGCTGGGGTCGAGACGGCTTTGTAAATGACCCAAGGTCACGGAGACTGTTAGGGTTCCGTAGGCCGTGTAGGCCACACGGTGCCGTCGGCCGCTGGGGTCGAGACGGCTTTGTAAATGCCCCAAGGTCACGGAGACCGTTAGGGTTTTGTAGGCCGCGGAGGCCACACGGTGTCGTCGGCCGCTGGGGTCGAGACAGCTTCAGGAAGGATGGGATACTCACAAAGGCACGGGAAGTAGTATATTAACAGCAAAAGTGCCGGAGTTCTCCTGCTTGGCTATATCTATTACAAAAGTGGGCAGAAGTCTTCAGATATTGAACTTCCTAAGGGTCTGGATGTTCCACCATCGGGGAATGTCACGAGGCTCGTCGTCACATGTGCGTAGACGATAACTTCCTGAGGGAGAAACTTCCACAACCTTGTACGGTCCTTCTCAATTCGGAGCTAGTTTTCCGGTTGGTTCTGCGTGGCTCGCCTTGTTTCGTCGGAGGACCAGGTCTCCGACTTCAAAGTCCCAAGCCCGGACCTTGGCATTGTAGTACTTGGCCATGAGCTGCTTGTATTTGGCTTCGCGGGCTTTGGCCAGGTCTCGCCTTTCGTCCAGGAAATCAAGGCAAAGACAGATTTCATCTTCGTTCATTTCCTCCGTGAAGTTGACCCGGGGACTAGGCACCTCTATTTCAGCTGGGAGAACGGCTTCCATGGTATAAACGAGGCTAAAAGGGATTGCCCCCGTGGCCGTTCTCATGGTGGTGCGAATGGCCCAGAGGACGTGGGCCAACTCCTCAGGCCATAGCCCCTCGGCACTCTTAAGCCGTGTCTTCATGCCCTGTAAGATGGCCTTATTTACATTTCCAGCCAACCCGTTAGTCTGGGGATGGACCACAAACAAGAACCATTGTTCGATCCCAAGCTGGTCACACCAGGATTTAAAAACTCCCGACTCAAACTGAGTTCCGTTGTCTGAGATAAGGACTTTCAAAATCCCGAACCGGCAGACAATGTTCTTCCAGAAGAATTTGGCAACGCTTGCCCCTGTGGTGGAGGCCAGAGGTTCTGCTTCGACCCATTTAGAAAAGTAGTCAATTGCGACGATCACGAACTTGAGCTTACCCGGAGGCAATGGGAAAGGCCCTATTATGTCCGTTCCCCACTTGCAGAAAGGCCACGGGCTTCCAATTGGGACCATCTCATGCTGGGGGAGACGCAGAATAGGTGCATGTTTTTGGCATTGCGCGCACCGAAGGACGATGTTATAGCAATCTTGGGATAGAGTAGGCCAGTAATATCCGGCGCGGATCAGCTTCTTGGCCAGATTACATGAACATAAGTGAGCCCCACAAGCGCCTTCGTGCATACTCCTGATCAACGTCTCAGCTTCCCGCGGCCCAACACAGCGTAGCAAGGGTGTTAGGTACCCTTGCTTGTAGAGAATGCCATCCCTCATCAAGTATTTAGGCGCCTTGAGCCGAATCTTCCGGGCCTCCCCTGGGTCTGCGGGTAATGCTCCGGTCTGGAGGTACTGGACAAAGGGTGTCATCCAAGATACCTTATCCATCGTCACAGGCAAGACTTCGTCGTCCAGGATACTCGGACGTGTCCTGACTTCCATGTGAATCTGCTGGGCTAGGTGCACGGCGTGGGAAGAAACTAACTTGCTCAGGGCATCGGTCCTCTTGTTCTGTGACCCCGGTATATACCAAATGTGGAAAACACGGAAGCCGCGTTCCAACACCCTGACTTTCCGAAGATACTTTTGGAGTACCACCTTCCGAACTTCGTACAGCCGAAGAACTTGGTTGACGACTACCAGAGAATCACTGTAAACTGAGATTTCCTGAACACCGAGAGCGCGGGCGATAGATAGCCCCGCGATCAGTGCTTCATATTCAACCTCATTATTTGTGGCAGAAAAATCTAGCTGGATATCATAAACGATTTCCGACCCGTGGGGATCGATCAGAACCACGCCCGCGCCCGAACCTTCTCTAGAGGAAGACCCGTCGACGAACAAAGTCCATAGTTGCTGCCCGGCAGGAGAAGATCTTTCAGGGGCTTGACACCATTCGCTAGCCTCGGCTTCCACTCCCTGAGGGGCTTCAACAAAGAAATAGGCCAAAGCTTGACCCTTGATAGAGGTCCAGGGTCGAAATTCTATGTCGTGCTCCCCGAGTTCCACAGCCCACTTAGTCATCCGGCCCGATGTATCAGACCTTCGGAGAATCTGCTGAAGGGTCTGATTCGTAAGAACAAGGATCGGGTGCGTCTGGAAATAGGGGCGTAACTTCCGGGCCGCGGTCACGAGGCAAAAAATCAACTTCTCAGCAGGGGTGTACCGAGTCTCGGCGGGAAGAACGACCTTAATGACATAATAAACAGGGATATACTTTCCCTTATGTTCCCGCACCAAGGCTGCACTCACCGTGGACTCGCCCACGGCTAAGTACAGAATCATAGTTTCCCCCGAGTCCGGTGTGCTCAGGGTCGGGAGAGTCCTCAAGTGTTCTTTAAGTTCCATGAAGGCTTTCTGACAAGCCTCGATCCAGCCGAAGGTATCGGACTTCTTGAGAACCTGGAAAAATGGCAAGCTTCGTTCGGCCGCCTTCGACGAGAAATCGCCCTAAGGCGGCAATAGAGCCTGTAAGCCTTTGTACTTCTTTGACGGACCGCGGGGGCTACATTTCCAGGATGACTTTAAGCTTTCAAGGGTCCACATCGATCCCTCTCCGAGAAATCTGGTAACCTAGAAACTTTCCTGATCCGATGCAGAACACACATTTTTTCGGATTCAACTTCATATTAGCCGCTTTGAGGGTCCGGAAGGTCTCATGGAGGTCGTTGACAACAAGGTCCATCCGACGACTTTTCACCACCATGTCATCCACGTAGACCTCTATGTTTCTTCCCAGCTGGTCCCCGAAGACGCGATTGGCCACACGTTGGTAAGTAGCACCCGCGTTCTTTAGACCGAAGGGCGTTTTGACATAGCAAAACACTCCCCTTTCAGTGAGGAAGGCTGTCTTTTCTGCATCATCCTCGTGCATCAGGATCTGGTGGTATCCTTTGTACGCATCCAGAAAGCTAAGCACCGGGTATCCCGAGATAGCATCAACCTTCTGCTCGATTGCCGGAAGAGGGTAGCAATCCTCGGGGCAGTGTTTATTGAGATCCTTATAATCCACACACATACGCCAAGAAGAGTCGGGTTTCTTGACCATGACCGGATTGGCCAACCACGTGGGATAGAAGATCTCCTTGAGAATGGAGGTGGCCAACAGCTTAGTAACCTCCACATTGATAGCGGCATTGCGCTCGGGAGCCATCTTCCACCTCCTCTGCTGTATTGGCCGCACGCTAGGGTCGATATTCAGTTTGTGCACGCCCAATTCGGAAGGAATCCCCGTCATGTTGCTGGGACTCCAAGCGAAGACTTCTTCGAACTGCTTCAACAATTCAACCACCATGTCCCGAAGACTGGGGGGCAAAACCGCTCCTAAGCTGACGACCCTTCCTTCTACAAAAGGATTCAGTGCAACATCCACAACCTCGTCATCCGTGGGACCAGAGTCGTCATTTCCTTGGTCTTCGTCTTCAGAGATCGGGGCCTCCTGGACGAACGCGACGGTTACCCTTCCCGGAAGGAAGTCACACCCTTTCTTTGCTGCGATAGCCATGCACTGTCGCGCCAATTTTTGATCTCCCCGAACTTCTGCAATCCCAGCCTCGGTCGGAAACTTCATGACCAAATGATATGGCGAGTAAATGGCCTTCGCCTGACTCATCCAGGGCCGCCCCAGAATGATGTTGAAAGGGGCCACGACGTCCACCACTGCAAAGTCAACGAGAATTACCCGATCCTTGGGATAAGTCCCTACGGTAATAGCCAAGCTGATTATGCCTAACGGCATTATCACGTGGTTAGAACTGAGTCTTGTCGAGGCCCAACTTCTGGAAACAATCACCGTACATGACATCCACTATGCTGCCATTATCAACGTATACTCGTCGAACTTCCCGGTTGGTGACTATGACCGTGATGACCAGCGCGTCGGAGCAATCTTCGGATCCACCTACTAAATCCTGCTTTGAGAAGGATATCACCTTCCTGGGAAGGAGGGCGCCCCATAGATAGCACCCACAGGAGCAGCCAAAATCTGCCGTGCCTGCGCTGGATCGACATCATCCTGGGCTTTGGTCCTGTCCCCGACAGGAACTCGATTTGCGGTCTTAGCCTTATTTTTCTTTTCGCCTTCGGCAAAAGCTTCTCTGGCTCTCTTCATGGACTCGTCTGTCCGGATCTCCTTTTCGATTATTTCCCACAACCTCTGGGTAGTGCCCGGGGGCTTAGCTGTGAGCTTGCTCCTCAGGGCAGCGCCCGCACCAAAGGGAGAGAGGTCGTTCACGAACTCGACCCTCACCACCAAATCCTCGACTTGATCTATCATTATGAGTTCCTTCGTGAACCTCTCGTAGTATTCCCCCAAAGACTCGTTCCGATGCTGGCGAACCGATGACAAGTCATGGATAGTGTGCTTGGCTCTCTTGCTGGAAAAGAATCGGACGTGGAGCTTTCGCCCTAAGTCCGCGTAAGAAGTAACGCTTCCCCGGAGAAGGCTATAGAACCATATCTTAGCGGCACCTGTTAGAAAGGTGGGCATCGCTTTAGCAGAGAACTCCCGGGGTGAGTCTCGCAAATCCATGGCCGCGGTATAATCAGCCAAGTAACTAACTGGACAGGTATCACCCCTGTACTTCAGGATGTCCGTTGGGAGTTTCAAGTTTACCGGCCGAGGATAACACCGAATATGCTTGGTGAAAGGACTTCCCAGCGTCTCCCTACTGTTGAGTATAGCCTCGAGCCGGGGATCTGACACACCCTCGCGGTCCACCCGCGGCTCGGGTCTTGGTGGGGTTTTAAGGTCGCGTTCTTTGCATCAATCTCGACCCCGAGAGACCTTTCGTTCCCCCATGAACATGAGGCTGTCGTCCGAACATTCGCCTTTGCCTCCATAATACATGTCCTCGAACTTTTTGAACTGCTCTTCGAATCCAGGGAATCTTCCGGCAAAGGATCTCCAGAAGCGGTCGTCATGTGGTCCTCGTTCAGGTGAACGGGACGGGCGAGGACGCTTGGAAGGTTCTTTGCTCCTCTCTGCTTCTTTACTGGTCCGGCGGGACCGGCTCCTCCGGTGTTCGGCTGATTCGTGGCCGTGGCCCTCGCGAGGATCGTCAGACCTCCTGGAGCGGCCCTGACGGTCATTAGTTCGGGAAGCCCCTTCGGCATCCTTCTTGTCTCGGCGTTCTCCGCGGGACCGGGCGGATACGCGGGAACTCCCCCCTACCACCCTCGATCTCAATCCAAGCCTGCGACTCGTCCCTTCGTCGGGCCTTGTCCGGGTGGAGACCATTACTCTCGTAGAACAACTGGATTTGCCCTCGGCCAAACGGGAACGGATGTTCCCATAGATGGCGCCACTTGTCGAGGGTAAATCCCGGGGGCGGAGAGTCAACGGTCCGACCTAGACAGGAACCTGCAAAACGGAGGTTAGCACTCCGAAGATTAAGTCAGTTCTAGGGAGAGAAGCAGGTAATTGTCACAAAACGGGAGTGTGGAATTGAATTAGCAATAAATGAACAAGGAGTATTTATAGGTCCTAACGGGACAATACCTGTGGGCCCCCGTGTTGGGAGGGGCATAAGCGTAAATAAACATGTGTTTATTCCTTGTAACCCAGCTGGGCCTTTAAGAAGGAATAAATGGGCCTCTTGGGCTCACAAGATAAGCCTAAGCCGGATGGCCAGTTGGGTCGGTCAAAATGGGTCAGAGTTGACCCCAACAATATTCATGCCCTTTTTAATAATTATTATTCTTTCAAGAGTAAAATGTTCAAATGGTCCCTTACATTCCGGCTTACTTGAATTTACGTCGCTAATATTAACATTTCAACATCGTAGTCCCAAACATTGTGTTTTCATACTTTTTTGGTCTCATTTTACTGTTTCAACTACTTTTTCGTCCAGCTTGATGTTGACCGGCAGTTGACCTCCCGGAATCAGGAGTATTTTTGTCTTTTCTTATAATTTGAACTTTCAGTAAAATTTAAATCATTAAAAATATTATAAAATTTACATTTAATTATTCAATTGTTTAATATTATTTATTAATTTAAAATATTATTATAAAATATTAAAATTTACATTATTTTAAAAAATTACTTTTTCTATTTATATTTATGCTAGATACAAAATAAATATTAATTACATTTCATTTTTAACCTCGAGCCCAGTATCACTCTAAAATTTTACCGCGCTACAGTAACTAATTTAAAATTCAATTTTTGTTTAAAAGAAAAGAAAAAGTAAACTAAATTTTTTATCCGGATTTTCACCCCCCCAATTTTTTATTCGGGCAGAAGTCAAAATCCAGCAGGCCCAAAGGGAAGAAAATTGAGGGGCGAAAATTCCGGATAAAAAATAGTTTTTTCTTTATTATTTACCTTAGATACAAAGTAAATATTAATTATGTTACTTTTAACCCCAATTCACTGCAACTTTAAAAATTTACCGAGTTACAGTAAATAATTCAAAATTCAAATTAAAAAAAAAAACAAAACCAAAATTTTTGACTTTTATCGCTACAATATACCCTGAGTTATTTCTAAAATTTTACCGGGCTACAATAATTAATTCAAAATTCAAATTTTTAAGGAAAAAAAGCGAGAAAATTGTAGGGTGAAAATCCAGACCAAAATAAGTTTATCTAAGTTTTTAGCTTAGTTATTGGTTTGAATTGGATATATGATTTAAAATGTGATTTCAGTGGAAATTCAAAAAGTTGTAGACATAGTTATTAAAATAAAATAATATTATTTTTACACTACCACCTCCACTTTTTCCACCACCGCCGCCCGCCGCCGGACCACCCATTGCCGCCGCCGTCCGGAGACCGACCAAAAAAATTATGCCTACAATTTTTTAAATTTTATTTTAATATTATTTTATTTTAATGACTATGCCTACAGTTTTTTAAATTTACACTCAAACCACATTTTAAATCATATATCCAATTGATACCAAAAATTAAAATAAATTATTTTTTATCCAGTTTTCACCCCCACAATTTTCTTCCCTCTGGGCCCGCTGGATTTTTGACTTGATAAAAAATCAGGGGTGAAAATTCGGATAACAAATTTAGTTTACTTTTTTTTAAAAAAAAAAAAATTTGAATTTCGAATTAGTTATTGTAGCGCGGTAAAATTTTAAAAATAATGTTTATTAGAAATAAAACATCAAGCTTTAAAAAAGTAATTAATAAATAAAACATAACTAATATTTATTTGTATCTAGCATAAGTGCTAAATAAAAAAGTAATTTTTAAAAATAATGTAAATTTTAAAATTTTATAATAATATTTTAAATTAATAAATAATATTTTAATTAATAAATAATAAAATTTGAATTTTATGATACTTTTAATGATTTAATTTTATTAGAAATTCAAATTACGTGAAAAGATGAAAATCTCTTTGATTCCGGCAAGTCAACATCAAGCTTGACGAAAAAGTTGTCGAAATAGTAAAATGGACCAAAAAAGTGTGAAAATATAATGTTTGGAACTACGAAATGTTAATGTTAGAAACGAAAATTTAAGTAAGTCCAAATAGAAGGGACCATTTGAACATTTTACTCTTCTTTCAACGCCCTTAACGAAAATTTTCCCTTCTTTTGTGACAAGGAGTAATTATTTTCCTTTCCTTTCTTTATTTGTCTAATTATTTTCCTTATTCATACTTCTTTTCATTCTCAGAAGTTTCTTTTTGAAGAACTTTTCTCTTTCTTCACCATTTCGGGAAAAAAAAATGAAAGACCAATAAACTGAGCACATAGTGAAAGAGCAGAAAGCAGTAGGAACTTGAGCATAGCTATTTTCTATTCCTTTGATCAGAAATAACTCTTTTTTCTTTGTTTTTTTTTTTTTTTGGGAAGGAAGAAATAACTCTGAGAGTCTTGACTCAACTTGTTTTCTACCAAAATTTTACGTGTTGCTGCCTTGGTAAATAATAATGAAAGATAAACTAGTATTACAGGATACATTAAAGAGAAAAGGAAAAAAAATCTAATCTAGAATCACACCCTAGATGAGGTTTTCTCTCACATGAGCTTTTCTTTGGCCCTGAGTTGCTGCAAAGCCATCAGACTCGGTTATTATAACGCCAACAACAATACAGAAGCATGTCTTCTAAAGCTCCACGGCTTTGTAAACTAGATCCTGTCCGTGGCATGGTCAGCAACCGTGTATGAGGCCATAGATCCCAGAGTGCAAGATCTAACTGAGATACACTATTACTACAAACACTATAAAACTATCTGTTACAGAGCCACAACCAGGGCCCACTGTGATGTCAAATTCACTGGTACAGATGTATATATACGTCAGACAAGAATAACATAAATGTTAAAATGACATATAATGGATCTCTACCTGGAGCATGTTACATGATCCAGATCACTGCTCAAGACACAAGTAGTCCTGATTCAAGTGCCGCTCTCACTTGCCAATGAAGACCATTCCATTAATGGTTCTATATCTGGAGATGCTGGGCAATGAAATGTTTATTTGAAGAAGTGAAGAGCTGTCCCTGCACACGGCTGGCCATATCATCCCACTTAACTTCCGGTCCACCTTCTTTTGCGAGCTGGACGCTCTGCCTTGATCTCAAAATCAGATCGATTTTCATTTTGGGCAGGAGGCAATTGCTCATTTTCTGACTTCTTTATTGCTGTAGCATCTTTCTCACTTGGCATTGGAAGTTTGAAACGTTCACTTCGCTTCTTTAGTTTTTCAACAGTGTCCAAGTGCCGGTCTTCTAAAGGTTTCTTTTCACTGGTATTCATCTCCAAAGCACCAGCATCTTTCTCGTTAGCAGAACGCTGTTGCTTGTCTTCCACAGTTTTAGATGCTTCATTATTAAGTCTGCTGTCAACAGAAGGCCCAGAACTACTGTTGTATGACTCCATCTGCCTAATCTTCATGGAAGATGAAGACTTGGAACTCATACCAAAATCCCTCTCTTTATGGCTGTTCCAGCGTTCTAATTTGGATCGACCTCTCCTGGATTCTGACAACTCATCATCTGATGAAGCCTCATCCCTTGGCTTTCTTGAAATTGGATTATTCGCATGGATATCATTTTCACTGCTGAAGTTCTCAACTCTACCTTTTGGTCTCGCCTAAGATACGGGGCAGGAATATTCTTATGACAAATTCAAAACGGAGCTAATTGCAAAAGCAAAGTAAAGAATAATAGGCATGTTATGCGTACTTCACAAATGGCAGAAACAAGACACTGTTATTATAAACCCAACGCAAACGAATTGCATAAAAGAAACTTCTTTTGGTCCAAATACAATCCAGTAATGACGCAAATAGAGTACAGCCTAGGTGCAAGGGATGTTTACCAAGCATTCCACCCAAAAAATATACAGTTTTTTTTTTTTAAAAGAAAAGAAAAGAAAAGGAAAGAAAAACGAAGTAAAGAGTGATAATGATATATATTGCATGCTTGTCTGTCTGTAGTTCTGAGAAATTTTCCATAGGCAAACCAATGAATGAAGAAATCCATTAAACGAACTTAAAACACATCGCATGTTCATCCTTGACACAATTTGAAAGTTTAAAGACAATTACATCTGTTGAAGCCTCTATTATGGGATCTTCACATCTGCTGTAGTCATTCACAACAAAACTCCTCAAGATCAATAATTAAGTAAGAAACTTCTTTAGAACAAAGCACGAGATGACAACGGGATACCTACTAATCCTAGAGGTTAAAAGCTGGTATATAAAGGCAAGAATCTAAAGGTTTTAGCTTATCCTATCTAAATTGTAGCAGACCCACAACAACAAAAAAGTGTAAGACAAAAGAACCATAACATAAAAGTTTTTAGCTTATCCTCTCTAAATTGTAGCAGACCCACAGAAACAAAAAAGTGAAAGTCGAATGAACCACATCAAGAAAAAAGAAACCCTTAAGAAATCTCAACACAATAAAAGGGAAACAAGAAAGTACTCAAGAATCTCTTATCTTCCAAATTAATTATACTATTTAGTGTTCCTTCCAAAAAAAAAAGGGTACCATTTTAGTGCAAGAAAGGCCATACCATGTCTCCTATACGCGCAGTATCATCTTGGTGCTTCTTGCGATCAACGGCCTCAGAATCCTTTCCCTTCCTTGGAATATCTCTGTTTTTATTCTCATGCACTTTATAATTATCCGAGGCATTAGATACATGGTCCTCACGAGTGACTGCTCTCTCAATCCTGGCTCTTCTCTCGTCGTGATTAAGCGGATTCCCATGATAAAAATCCTCACGACCCCTCTGCTGTGAAAGATTCACATTTTCTGCTCGATCCCTCCTACTGTGCAACTCATGAGGTCGCACTGCATCCTTTGGGTGCAATTCTTTAGAACGTCTGTGCTCATCTTTTCCCCTTGATTGATTTTCCCGTACCTTCTCTTCTGCAGCTCGACCACTCCTGATTCCCACCCGTGCTGCTTCTTTATCCATCTTTACTTGACTTTCTTGATTCATTTGTTTATGCCTATACCATTCCTCCCGTTCCTTATGCCTAGCACTAAGTACATCATCATCCCTTGTCTTCCCTTGGTCATCCCTTCTACGTTGATCAGGCACATCATCCCTCTCTCTCTTCCGACGACTACTACTTTCTCGATGAGCATGTAAACTTTCTTCTTTGTCTGCAAGTTCCTTAAAGAAATGAGCTTCTTCTTTCCTTCTCTTATTGTACATATCATCATCTCTGTCTCTCGGCCTGATTGCTGGATCCTTATCAAAATTACCCCTCCAATTCCCATTGTCCAATTGCTTTCTGAATGTTAGGCGTTCATCTTTTTCATGCCTTTCACTCTCTCGAGCCTTGCCTTGCTGTCTAGCACCACTCTTTTCACGATATTCCCTTTTCCTAGTGTCTTCAACTCTGGTTCTTCTTCCATGGATATCCTCATCTCTTCTTTGATGAGCCCCCTCAGTATCATCAACATCCCGACGGAAGTCACCAGACTCTGATTTCACTCGGGAACCGTGTGTCAAGTGAGAATCCCATCCTTTTTGGTGGTACATATCTTCCCTACCTCTTACCGCACTACGCTGTCTTTCATTTTCTTGTCTATCATCACGAACTTTTCTTCTGCCACTAACCTCGTCCCCACCAATTGCTCGCTTAACATCGCCTCTTCTTGTAGCTTGTCTCCCTTGAACTTCTTCTTCTTCAACATCTGGCAGCTTCCGGTAATTACTACTTCCTGACCTTGCTTTGCTGTTTTCACTACTTCTTGCAGCTTTTGAATCTTCTTGGTCATCAACTTCGTGCATCAAAGATGGTTCAGATTGTGAACTTAACTTCTGCTTTTTGGAAGGATGGTCTCGTGTTTCATCAGAAAGGCTATCATTTTGCATTTTACCATTCAAAGCCGATTCCCCTTTGTCCTTGTCAGGGCCTCTCTCCGTCCGGACGATTCCATCATTCATTGAATCTTTAGGTTCAGCAGAAATTCCAACAGAACCTGGAGATGATGCAAGAGGACTACTTCTACCGTCCATACTTCCAACTGGTGAGTCTTTAATACCAGGTGACCGATTGCCGGTCGTTCTTTCCTTTATGGTAGCCCTGGGCGATCCAGAATGCGCTCTCCCCTTCGTTCGCCTGTTAGACACAACAAACAGTAGCAACATCAGTTTAGTAGTATAAGCAACAAACATGGAGCCAAAGCATGCATGCAAGAAATGACCACATAAACAATGAAAACAAACAATAAAGACACACATATAACAAACAAATAAAGTGCATATAAAGCGCACATCAATGCATCCTGAATATCATTGTTGAAAAATACCTCCAAAAGTTACTACATAAATTAATCTGCCAAAAGAAATGTTCCTGATTCTTCTGCGGACAGCTAAATGAAAACATAAAAGCTAAACAAACACGCCAAATTAAAAACTTTAAGTGTAATACAGAAGATTGGAGGTCTTTGATATCATAGAGAGAGAGAGGATCAAGAGGCTAAAAAAATTGCCCCACAATGGCCATAGGTGTATGTAAGTGATTGAAATACAGTTCGTTTAGTCACTTTAAGAATATTAAATTAGACGAATTTTCCATCCAGGGGGGAGAAAATGATTAGTAAAAAGAAGTTCCTAAAAACCCTTAGCAAGAATAAAATGAACTCATTTCGCTGCATTTCAGCTAACCTGTCTTCATGAGAGCTAGCAGAAGTCCTCTCAGGATAATCTGGGGATTGTTCTCTAGAGTCACTACGATATCCTGGTGATGCACCTCGATTGAAAGCAGAGGTGCCATCTCCTTCAGCCTCATTATTACGAACAGACGGCACCCTTCTCCCATCAACTTCCCTCTTGCGACTGTCATAAGCATGAGGAGAACGACTCAAATGTTCGGCATCTTCTTGCGGTTCTTCCAACTCATTAACATCTGGAACGTCCTCCCCAACAGAATCAGTTTCAGCTTGGTCTATCATCTCATCCCCTCTTTTGGTATCATCATCTAATGAACCTTGGCACACAATCTGTTGGGAAAGACAAGAACAAAAGAGGGTTATCAGACAAATGATGAAATCCAACTCACAACATTAATTAGCAAAAAAGGGCAATTACTCACAACTGACCTCAATAATTACATCTAAATCGCTAATTCGCGGTTTACGAGTGTCAATAGATGGAAGACGTTCGCCATACCCTGTCTCCACTTGAATTGGTCTTCCAGTTGGCTAACAAAAGAAATAAATAATCAGTTAATAGAAATTAAGGAAACAGAATAAACGTTATTGGACACTCTTTTCTAGTTTTCCTTTTTTGAAGCAATTTATAATCCACATGACGGGATAAAAATAGAACATGAGGTGTGGAGAAGTGAACCAAACTTCAAACGAGTGTGTTCACCAATTTCAGAGCTAATCATAAACATTTTGTGGCTAACTTAGAGATCAAACTAAAGCCATACCAGTGGTGGTCTCACACGAGCAGTTCCTCTTGCTAAGTCATCTAGACCAGGATCTGACTTCCCAAACTTCACACCGTCAGCTAGATTGTCCTGAACTACTGCTGCAGCAAGCTCAGGCGGAAGATCTGGATCATACTCCTAAACATAACCACATAAATATAAGCTCTCTATGCCAAACATAACCACATAAATAAAGTTATTTACAATGCATAGCAGCAACATCATATCCTATTTCAGACCATTCCATACCTGCTCAGCTCTACCACTTTCATACACACGAATTTTCCCAGGCATTGTTGTTCCAGCTCGAAGTTGCTCCTGGAGGAATTTTAAGCAAGCAATCAAGAGATATGCTTACTAAAACAACATCTTTGCTTGAAAGCATGGTAAAAGAAGTGCATGACTCTAAATGTGGGTGATGTTTATACGATGGAAGACAAACAGAAAAAAAGAAAAAAAAAAAAAATCATGGAACCTACAAGCTGTTTGCAGTAGTCTTTCCAACTTTCTTCGGTCAATCCAAAATTGAAAAAGTCTGATACATCCACACCATTAATTCTCCAAGGCTTCTCCTCAAAACTTTCAATGTCAACTTCAAATATGGTCCTGGTAAATTCAAACGGGCCACTTTAAGAATCATGCACAACAAAGAACCAAAACTAGCCACATAAAATAATTAGAAAAGCATCTTCAAGAAAGAGTACAAATTCTAGTGCCTTTAACTACTCTTGAATGAAATCCTGTTAAATGATAGACAAACTTGCATTTGAAAAGATCAAAATGAAATCCACAATCATTGCATTCTAATCAATTTGCCTGAAAATGGAAGTCACTCGAACAAGGAACCCACAAAACATATATACTTCTAACAATGCTCAATATATGCTAGAAAGCCTTGCCCGCCTAACCCCTGAGGAAGACAAAATAGAACTTCCAGAAATTACTGTAACAAATTTGGAAAAATAGCATGACCAAAATCCAAAGTCAAAGTAGCGCATGAATGCCAGGTATGGGTATGGCAAGTGGTTCAAATTATTAAAAAATAAATAAATAAAATAAAATAAAATAAAATTGTTTATAATCCTGAGGCACACTTCTAACCTTCGAAAATCTACTTTCATGTTTCCAATACACTTTCTTATGACATTTTCATTTCTGATACAACTTCCAACACTTCCTAATTAAACTCAATCCAACTCCAAAATTATTGCAAAACAAAATGTTGCCCATACACCATGTGTTGCCTCTACTTTTAATAGCATGACATTTGAGTTGTTTGATGATTTCCATGCTACAAACAGACCCAGAGCAAAAAAGATCCTTTTCACAAGCTGCCATCAATTCTTAGAAAAGTTACATGCTGATAAGAATTTCATACAACCTAACCCATCAAAGGCCTAATGCAAACAGCCTCATGCGTCTTAAGGCAAAAGCCTAATGCCCACAGCCTTATCACACACATAAGAATTAATGCAAAGTTCTTTCTCCTATAGTTTCCCACTCTTTTTCCCAAAATTGTGCCCTTTGTCCAATGTCCACCGTCACTCTAAGGACACGGTACCAACTTCATGCAAGTGTTTGATTCAATAATGAATATCCCGGGAGTAAACAACACCATTGTGCATTTGAAGTAGAAATGAGAGATAATAGCATGCAAAAGCTGGTAATATGAAGCAACTAAGTTGACAAGTATAACACACCAGAAGGCTATGTCAACCAATACACTGAACCACATGGTTAATTCATATATGACATCAGCATTTTCACATGTATATTAGTGTCCATTGCATGGAAAAGACAGATAAGGGGCATCGATCAAGTTGAAAACTGTAAGATTGCTCCATTTTTGTTTCCTCATACTAATCTAAAACAACATGGATTCCTGAAGCTTTGGGATTATTGGTTATTATTCAAAATAAAAAACTATCAATCCCTAAATCCCTAAAAAGAATCAGAGGTGCTAGCCAAGTGCTTGATTGACGGGAACTCAAAACAGACAGCAAAACCCAATGAAATTTTAGGATTAAGAGAAACAGAAAAACCTATCATGCGGGATCCTTTGAAAATAAACAGAACTGTATCCAAATGAACATGAACTAACTTGTGTGATGGAAGAGTAAAATCCAATCCACGACCAGTTCCCCAAACAGGCACTCCATAGCCTTGATAGAAACCTTTCTGCACTGCAGGAGAACCTTTCATTCCTGGAGGCCGCCAATCACCTCTACCACGTCCGGCAGCAGGAGGCATGCCAATGGGTGGACGAACTTGACCGGGAACTCCAGGACCAGCAGGAGGTGCACCAGGAATTGGGGATGCACCAGGTCTCACATACTACACGGTTATCCAAGGGAAAGTAACAACAAAGGTAATATTAGTGAACAATCAACGCCACAACAATAACAATCGAGAGGAATGTAATAGAAACAAAATCAAATTAATCTTAGGCATCACAGAAACATCTTAACACACATAAAGTTCGAAAGTCTCACACATAAATTAGTCTCCATCAAAGTCTAAATCATGACTTCAATCCCATCAATTATTTTTAAGGTTTAAAAATGAAACTAACAAAATACAAATCAGAAGTTACAAGAATATGAAACTAGACTATAAAGAAACAGCAGAACCATCCCACAGACAGCATGAATTTCTGCAACTCATTCATAATTCTTTATCTAATTCATCTAACATACAATTTGCAAAGTGGATGCAGTAATACAACAGAATCAAAATTATTCTCGGAAAAATTGTGAACACTCTCGAAGGCCAAGGAATTGTAGATAACTAGGTGACCGAGACAGTGAAATTAGACGGGTTATCTTGTTTTTCTCTTTTCTTTAGTCTAGTATCATAATTTTCTAAAGTCCAACCATTTTTTAAAGGCCACCACTTACCAGCACAGCGTGAGAATGCACAGCAATATTTACTCAATAACAACTTTTCTAAAAGCAGGTTGGTCATCTAATACGACGGAATATCAAAATTCCTAATTGCTTGAAGTGCACTTCTTTTCAGCAACATTATCCTTATATTTATAGTATAGTCAAGCCAAAAACTTAGTTGCAATTTCTTCAGAAATGTCATTCAAACCTCTTGGTACTCCCTCTTTTGAGTATTATCAGATTCAAAGAAAAGACTTTGTCATATAATTTAAATAAACAAAAAGGTGTAATCTTTTTTCAACAGTAGAAGCATAATCCTGATCTGCATCGTACACTAGACAAATAATCAGTAACTTGCACAACTAGTGACCATACACCACTGCTACCTTAACTCATACTGCACAAAGAAGCTTTTCTGGAAGTTTATCAGCGCTAAATGTTACATCTTGATCGATTCATTCAAACTTATCAAATACAGCAGGAGGTGCTTCTCAATTTGTATTTCCCTAAATGATTGTTCCAATTCTAAAGCATTCTTTAATAAGGAGAGAAAACGGTTGTCAATGGAAGTATAAATTTGCACCATAGACATTAACAAGTATATTTGCATTCCGAAAAATATTTCTTCAATCATAAGTCTACTAAAGAAAAGCAAAGAAGTAAAAGATTAAATGCATTCCACAGCATTATAAATTTCATTGTTGGAGTGTTGGAAACAGTACACCACTCAACCTCATCTGCACATACAACAGCATTAACGTATTCTAGTATAACCATTATAATTACTGTACAACAATTACAAGCTAATGTACATTTCAAGTTGTGATCAAACAAGAGGGTTAAAGCACCAAACCCCAGTCGTGCAGCGACTTCACTGACCTTGAACTGCGAATGAAATGGATGATGGTACCCATGAGGGCCGTACCCAACCTTTGGTGCACTTGGCACTGCCACTCCATTTACTTTTCCGGCTTCGCCTGCCTCCTTCTTTTCCCCATCAGCACCGGGTCCGGCATCCTCTCCTACCCATTCTTGCTCCTCCATTATCATGGGCTGATGTCCTGGGTCATGGTTGTCTGCAACAATCACCAATGGGTCCCCATCATCATCATCATCTTCATCACCCATAGCCCCTCCGGCAATTCTCTCCATCCCCATTGGGCCATGAGTATTATCATTCAACACAATTTGCAAGTCATCATCACTATCACTGTCCCAATCATCATCCGCAGCGGGATCAGCTCGGCTTTCCACACCAGAAACTCCAGGAATGGAAAGTCCAGGGATTTCCGTGTCCAACCCCAATCCATTAACCGCACCATTCCCCACACTAAAATTATCGATAGCTTTGGTCTTATCGGAAAAATTCTCATCTTTAACCACAAAGTCGTCATCTTTTTCGTCCCTCTCTTTGATCACGATGTCAATTTCAGGCTCGGTGTCCATAAAATCGGAGCCCCCAGTCCCGGCGCCGTTCCCCTGCAACCTTGCCTTCCCATCCGCCGCACTTAAAACCCTAGCTTGCGAATCCGACTCCGCCCCAACAAAACTCTCCGAATTACCCGATTCTTGACCGAATTCCTCATTCAAATCGAAGTTCCTCGCATCGGGCCGGAAATGGACGCCAGGTTGAGACGACGAGGAGGATGCTAGGGTTCGATTTTGAGGCGCGGGACGGGAATTCGGAGCTCCGACCAACTCATCCCCGCCGCCAAGTTCATCATCGCTGGTGACGTTCAGATCGATCGGGCGGCCAAGAAACGACGTCGCCGATGCAGAAGTAACTTTGGGGGATTCCTTGGAAGGAAGGCCAGATTGATGATGGTGCTGCTGCTGAGCTTGGGATTGAAACGAAGGGGTCATCAACGGCCGTAAGACGTCGGTGTAGAGATCTCCGAACTCGTCATCGTCTTCCATTAAAGCAGAGGAAAGAAGGAAGGCGCAGAAAGTGTGTTGTTTTCGGTTTCAGGGGAGAGAGGGTTTGTTAGAACAGCAAGAACTTATACCATTTATATCGAAAAAAGAAAACACAAATTGATCGAAGAGTTTTTTAGGTAATTAACGTATGTAAACATACATACATGAATATGATTTCTCAAACTTCTTTTACTTTTTTTCTTTTAGGTATTTCAACCCCAAAGTTTTTAAAGTTTGTATATAAATAGGAGAATTCAAACAAGATTTGAGGTTTTGGACTTTTTAATTTATTTGGTTTCTAATTTAGAAAAATTTTACATTGTTTTTTAGAATAAAAAATAAAAAAAAATACAAGCATACAGTAAAATGAGTGACAAAATTTAATTTTTTGGAACGAGACAAAAAATTATAAGAATAATAACCTCTGAAAATTTGCTACAAAAACTTAATTCAATTTTAGTATAAAATTTTTTTCAACACTTTACAATGTTTATGTCGGTTTTTTTAAATTTATTTTTTATTAGATATTTGAATTAATCTATCACGACATTATAAATTTTTCATTTAATGTATTTTGAACTAAAAATAAAAATATAAATTAAATAATCATTTCGAGCATTAAAGTTAACTACTTTCCTTAGCTCCCGTGTTTTTTTTTTTTTTGTGCTAAAGTTTTATTACTCAATGGAATGTCAATTCTAGTTGAAAAACCACGCGGTAAATTGAAACTCCAGTAAAACTGTAAAAATAAGGGGTTTAATTGTGATTCTGGTTTTGTTTATTTTTCGTTTCTTTTCTTTTTCTGGCCAAAAAACACCAGAAACGGGCACAGAAGAAAAAACCCAGCTAGTAAAACGGGCACTGTAGAACCAAACTGAAAGATGATCGGAGTTGGGAAGATGAAACAGTACTCCAATGTCCTCGACAAACCCCTAAGCAAAGGCAAACAAGAGGTTCTTCTTCGTCTTCTTCCTCGTTTTTTTTTTTTTTTTTTGTTTTTGGTTTATGGGTCTGTTTACAAAATGCCAATAAGAATCCAGATCTTGAACTAGAAAATTGTGAGTATAAAGGGTTTCAATCGGCTGCAATGGGAGAATTCCTCCTACCATTTGAACTTTTTCATGTCATTTCGCTGCTGAGTGCAGTAGGGTTTTGGCTGTTGATCCAGTTTCTTAGTCAGAATCTTTCCATTCTGTGTCGAACTAGTTTGGAGAGCATGGTTGTTAATTGGGTTTTTTTCTTTTCAATGTCCTTTTTGATGATCAGGTGAGTTTGAGCGCATTTGCGTTCTTATTCTCAGAGCTGGTTCAGTACAATCAGACTCAAGTGGACAACATTGCTGAACTGGAAAGAAGGTGATGCTATTACCGACTTTGTGTGTAGATACATTGTTGAGTATTTGGTCCTCTGTATAACGATATGACTGGGCGTATTTGATTTCGTGCTGTTTTTCGTTATGATTCGTGAACTATACAATATGCCAAAAATAAAAGTAAAAACAAAGATTGAATCATATGACCGGAGAATATTATCTGTTTGTTTGTAGTTGAGAAAAAGATTAGGGAACAATTGGGTAGTTGTTCTTTGAAATTATGGAAGAGTTCCAGGACTGGCTTCATCAGACTAGTAATCGGTGTAAAGAGTAATTCTTCCAGATTTTTGGTGGGCCACTTTAATGTTTTTTATGCAGATCACGAATTCATTCTTCTTTTTTACTTACCGGTTTTAATCATTTTGGAATTAATTATTCACAGCTTACACTACTCTCAAATCTAGAACTAGAGAATATCGCCACATTGACTTTTGGTGGATGATTTCAATGGCTTATGTTTTATCTGATCACAACTGGCTTTCATGCCCTAATGTCAAAACTGTATGTTGTTTCTCGCATCCGGAACAGGTTGGAAGATGCTGGATATGCTGTTGGGGCACGAGCGTTGGAACTTCTTTGCCACAGGGAAAAGGTAAGAATAGATGGTGTTCTGGAATTTGCATTATTAGTTGCATAATATTCACATTATGGAAATCTGTGTGCATTTTTTCTTTCAGCTGTTAGCACCCTGATCTGGGATTGGAAGTAAAACATCTGAACTACGAATAAAATCATTTCGTGCACTTAGCATTTTTAATTGAGGTCCTGTCATGTCTTTTGATTATTTTATCTTTCTTCTTCTATTTTTCTCGGGGATGGGGGTGGAGGGAGAGGCTGTTCAATCTAATGACAAAATTTCAAAGATGATAAGGTTTTTGATACTTTCTAGTCATAAAGTTTTGAGGTTTACAGTTTTTAGGTTTCTGCACATAGCAGATTTACCCACTGTTATTCTTACATACAAATAGAAATATGTAAGTTTGAACTTGGTTCCTCATCAATACTTGATTATTACTTGTAATAAGCATTTAAGTATTAACTTTTGCTAATTGTCAAGTTAACAACCAACACATGAGCTTTTTGTATTAATATGTGTGACTATGCGTGTGTGATTGTTTTTTGTGTGTGTTGGTGTAAGCCTGATGTGTGTCTAGAGAGCAATCTATAGAATTGAGGGGATGATGATTTGTTACATTGTTGTTTCGAGATGTATGGGAGCAAGGACTCAAAACAACAAATGTTCAATTGAGATATAGCTGCCTTCTGATTGAGATTGATGTAATGATTAGTCAGAGATTATTCAACTTCATAGTTTTTATGGAGAGGTCCCCTCTTCTCTTTGATGTATTGCTTCTCTAAGTTGCTATTGATGCATTTATGCTTTCACCTCTGATATTGTAGGGAAACAGAAGAGAGACACGACTGCTGGGAATTTTGTCTTTTGTACACAGCACAGTATGGAAGGCTTTGTTTGGAAAGGTTATTGTTGACTGCATCTACAGATAACTTTATTTCTGCAAAGTTGAATTCAGTCTTCAGATTTTGCCAACTCTTGAAACCAATTTTTTTTTTTTTAAGCCTCAGGGCAAATGAATTTGTGAATATATCCATAGAAAAGTTGAAATTTAGTCTTTTGGATTTTACCAATTGGTGAATGGGTAATAATTATCACTAGGTGAATTGAGGTCATGGATTCAAGTTAGGAGATGCCGTTTATAGATACTCTATAAGTTAAGGTGGCTAATGGGAAGTCCACTTACATTGAAGCTTCAGAGCACCAGGCTACCCCTTATACTAGTTTATAGTCCTCGGACTTAATTCAGTGACTTGTAGGATTATAAATCTGCAAAACGTCCTTTAAGAATTTGTTAAACTTGTTGTCGTTTGTTCTCCTTATAGTAGCTTTATGAAGGCATTTTCTGTTATTCTGCTGTACGAGTCCTGCGTGATTATTAATGCCAGACCAGTTGGCAATTAGGCGGACAACTTCTTGATATGTTGAAAAGTGAGAATAATTTTTGGTGATATCCGTCATATATTTGAAGCTTTTGATATCTTTCAATGGACATGAAAATTGTTTCAATTAAATGGGTCATTTATTTACAAAACTTGTGATTTCTGCAAATGTAAACACAATGCATTCAAGTTCATCACCTGGATCGACAATTTTTTTTTTAATCTTTCTACATCATCCTCTTAAATTGTACTGTTGTTCATCCCTTAACCATACCTAATGTTTTATGGTATCTCTTGTCTCCTTTGTTTGAACATAAGAAAGCATAGAACTTCTGACCACTTTGTTGCTTATTCAAATTCGCTAAATTCAATCGGGTTTATTGTAGGTTGTGAATGAGATTGCCTCTTGTCTTCTTTTGGGGAAAAAGAAAAATAACATGTGCTATTTTGTCATCTGAATCAGGTGGCTGATTCGCTTGAAAAAGGGACTGAACATGAAGATGAATACATGATTAGTGAGAAAGAACTTTTGGTCAATAGGTAGCTTCCTGTTCTGTGTTATGGTTTTGGTTTTGCACCGCAGCTATCTTCTGTACCACCCTAATGTGCTGCTTCTGGGTTTAGATTTATATCAATTCCCAAGGACATGGGTACTTTTAATTGTGGAGCATTTGTTGCTGGAATTGTAAGGGTATGTGTATTTCAGTGAATCTCAAGTGAATTACAGACCCTCGGTTGTACTCTTGTTGATTTGTTTTTCCTGTGAAGGGAGTCTTAGATAATGCAGGTTTTCCTGCAGTCGTGACAGCTCATTTTGTTCCTGTTGAAGGGCAGCAGCGGCCTAGAACAACAATCTTGATAAAATTTGCCGAGGAGGTAGCTCCCAATATTTGACGCAATTTCTCCTTGATCACTGCTTCATTGAGTTTTCTTCTAGTAATTGCTCAAGTATAAGTAATTCGGTTTTCAGTGATAGGGTGCTGGTTTAAATTTGGTCTAGTCTTCTTTTTTCCCTCTCTTGACAATCTGCAGTTAGATTTCCCTTTCGGTGGTAGCTATCTTTAAAAAGAGTAGTCCATCAAAATGTCTAGTTCTACTTAGACGTCTACATAAGTGCAAAAATACTGCATGATGACAGCACACGATAGTTTTTTATTGGTGAGATTGAAACCAAAAAGACTTGAATCTCCTAATTTTGGCCTTCTCTCAAACTGAAACAAAATGTATGTTTCTGTCCTGTTGTTGCTTTCCTTTATTGCCCTTTTAATTGGATATACAGAGAACTTGAATAGCATTATTTGCATTAGAAATGTTGCATTGACATGTTGGAAGGATGGTGCTTCTCTAAACAAGTCATAGTCGGGTATCATAAGTGGGATCTGCTAGACTGAAGTGAAACCAGGGTTCTTGAATTAACTGGGCCCCTACCACATCTGGCGAATCCAGTTTTTTTTTTTTTTTTCAGTTAACCAGTGTTTTTCTGTAGCCACTTGATATGTCTGGTTGAAGTGGCCAATATTCAGAAGGTTTTTACTGTTTAAATACATAGATCCAAACATGATAAAGCTGTTGACCTCCACAATTTCTAGGTTTTTCTGTTTTTCTGTAATTTAAAAACGTTCATAAGTATCATGATTTACCTTTCACAATAGGACGGCAAAAATTTTGAGCTACAAATGACAGACTTACAAACCGATGTTTTTAAATTAGTTACACCTTCAGGATTTTCTGCTGCACTTAATTTACTCTTCTCCTGTTCCAGGTACTACGCAGAGAAGCCAAATTGGGCTAGTCACCATTTTATTATCATCTGCCAACAGCAAGAAGGTTTTACACTCCGCGATTCTGTGATTTTGGGGGAGTGTAGGATGTGCCGTATACACACTAGATTCATGTACTGGTAGTTGAATTGGTAACTAGGTACTGAAGCTGACCGTTGAGTGTATAAATGTTATCTAATCAATGAAAGGATTTGTAGTTGTGATCATTCTGAATGTGGATAAAGTGCTGACTTCTTTATTAAACAGATGCGGAAAATGGATATTCACATTCAGAGTGACTCCAACGTTTAAACACGTTGAAGATCCCAAAATATTCTGAATTCCTGTTGCCGGACAGTAAAGCCCTGGAGATAAACATTTGTTACCATCAAAAGTCACTGTGAAATTTTGAATTACTCAAGGATATTCGAAACCTTTTTTCTGGTCAGTAGCATTACCGTAATGGCTGTTATTCTTGGATCTGTTTTATATTTCTGTAAGTTTTCCAGTAATGATTTGCAACTTGAACTCCTTTTGTCCCAAAACATTGTGCAAGGGCTGTAATTCTTGGACCTATTATAGATTTTCGTTAGTAAACCAGTAATGATCTGTGCCTTGAACTCCTTTTGTCCCAAAATAAAACTCAGGTTAAACTATTTTAGTACAACAAACGTACTCCTGTTTGGACAGAAGGAGCAGTAGAGTAAGATTTGAATTGAAAGATAAATGCTTTAGAAGTGTGCATTCAGTAGCGCCATGGAAAAATCAAGAACTTGACAAGATCTCAAACTAATTAACATATGTATCTGCAGTATATATGTACTAGTCATAGGAAATTAAAGATGTGTAAGTTAAGAAAGCTGAGTATGAAGCTTAGACTAAGAAAACCTTTAGTTAGAGAGTGTTACGAGGGAGAGCAGAATTGACAAAGGAAAACCAAGCAAGATATTCCTAGATACTTGTAGAATGGTGAGACAGCAAGCTCATTAGTACACAGGAGTGAGCATAGTCTTGATAAGCACCAATGAGTTTCCAATTCTTTACTAAATGGATAAGTGATAACTCATCACTACAACAAGGGTAGCAGTATGACTAAATACTTGAATACGAAATGAATTCCCACTTCCAAGAGAGACACAATTTTAAGAAAAGGGTTTGGCCTGCTGTGGCTAATTTAAAGAAATATCTCTGCTTCAGCCTATGGAAAACTGAAAACTAATAAATCTGTTCAGAAGAAACTAGTTTCAGCCTCTGAAAGTCATCCTGCTCCCGCCAAATTATCTCCATAAAAGTGAAAGTGAATTCCTTTTCAAACTTGTTTTATAGTTTCAGCCTCACAATAAAACCAATAAACCAGTTATTTTTGCACTTCTGCTATAAGTTTAGTTTCTATCTCAATAAGAAGTGCTCTTGCTTCCTTCATACTACTGTTAATAAAAATTACACCAACTTCTACTTTTCAAATATGATAGTGAACTATGTTTCGTAAAGCTAAACAATGTTTATCAGGTAAAGGTACTTACTAAACTTGTATTTCCTTCGAGAAAACTGTACTTACAAATTTGGGTAAAGCAAGAATACTAAGGCCAAAATGCTTCCAAGCCATTGAGGACAAACCTGGTGTTTGATCAAAGGCCATACATGGGTTGATTCATACTCCATTAACTCCTAAGTCCTACGGGCACATCAACAATGTAGATCCCATAGGTCATCTAAGAATATACAAAGAAAAAAACACCAACAAAGAAAACAACAAACAAAAACAAAAGCAAAAAAAAAACCAACTTTCTATTCAATGCCAGATCAATTCATAAGCCCTGTCTTTTCAAGCAAATGTCAGAAACTAAGACACAGACAGCTTATCCTATAGTGGATTCCTATTTACCATGAACCAGAAACACCACTTTTTGTCCTGCAACAGAACAAAATACTATACCAAATACCCAGATACCAAAAAAAGACCAACATCTTGACAGACATAACCAATTCAGAAAGCTCTCCACAGTATCAAAAATCAAGATGCCAAAGATTCTCCAAAAATTCAGAAGCAGATGGAATAATTAGAAACAGCACTAACGAAAGAAAATCAAACCTTAACTCTTAAGAGCCAGGATAGGAAATGCATTGCTTCGAGTCCTCAATTCTCAGTCAAAGTATGTATCTAGGACACTTTAAAGCCAGATTTAAGTGCACCACGGTTTAAAACTAGATCCATAAACCAAGCAGAATGCAGTTAAACCAATAAATTCTTTTGGGGCACATTTGGCAGGACTATATAATATACATAGGTCCAAGTCAAGTCAAATAAAGTTCCATAATAAGATGAAGGTAAGCACCACTACCGAGCAAACTATACATCAACAAGCAGAAATACCGGTCCTTAATGAAACTTCTGCATTTCTAAAGAGGATAACAAAATTTTCCTCAACTGGAAATGATATATATGAGCTCGGAATCTCACTATGAACTGTACAAGTCAGTTAACATTCCCAAGTTTTGGCACACAACTTGAGGGAAGAAAAACCCTCCATACCCTCACAAACCATAGGCAAAATTACACACAACAAAAAAAAGAACGAACACCAGACTCTCCAGAGCTGCTAATACTCTATTGTCTTTATTTCTGTTGACCTCCTGGCAAATTTCAACTTCTCGGCAGGCTTACGACCATCATATTCATTTTTCTCCCTTTGTCTCATTGCTTTATCAAGTAAAAATAAAAATCTTTCTCAGCATGTAAAATTAGTTACAGTACATCCTAAAATCCAAAGAGATGGTAGAAAATCCTGTTAATTCTTACCTAAAACAGCTTACTGGGGAAGCACTGATCAGAAAATAGAATTCGGAGATGTAAGCACACAAAGTAACAACAGGCTGAAAAAGAAAGAAGTTATTCCATGCTTTAGAAACTTGAAAACAGACTACTAAAAGTTTAATACAGCCCCAATCATGATTGTAATCCACAAAAACCAAAATGACAAAGAATCTGAGGAAAATTATGTCCTCTTCGATCATTGCTTCCCAAACTTAAATTTCAACAAAATAGTACATATATATCCACACACACAACACTACCCAATCAACAGTGAACCGCCAGACAAAAATAACAAAATTAAGAGGGATTCATCTTAATATCATAATGGCACCATTCCAACACAAAAGAACTAAATCTTGTAGTTATTTATAGCATTAAGAGGAGAAAAACATAAGAACCAGGAAGAAATGAATTGAGAAAACTAAACGTTGAAGCACTTTAAGGCATTCACAGAGAAAAATGACAGAGCCAGAAAGAAAATCAAAGTAGGAAAGTAAGCAAAGGAAACAATAGGCACACAAAGTATCCAAGAAATAACTTTTTTATTTAGTTTTTCATGATTTTTTAAGGACCAATCTGTCCATTCTCAACACCAAGGCCATACAAAACACCAGCATACTTCTCAATTGCCCCAGGAAAGAAGACATCTTTCAACTTCAGAAATGTACAACAAGTAAGCAAACTATCTGAACCGGCCTGATGGCAGATCCCAATTCGTTCAACTTCCAACAGCTCCGCAAGCTTGTCTAACCCGCCATGGAGGCTGTTACAGAACCTCATCATATGCTTGATATCATAAATGGTTGGGAAAAATGTTTTGATCAAATGAAAGAACTCTTCTTGGGTATCAGGCAGGATTCGACAAGTTAGAAGTTTCAGAAGGTAACCGAAATCGTAGCCACAATGAAAGGCAACCCAGGTCACTCTATCATTCAGCACAATCCCAGATGACATCAGAAGCTCACTGAACCGGTATGCATCAACACCCTTATCAGCATTCTTCTTGAAATCAAACCCACTTCGCCTCAAGAGCTCTATCGAGTCATGGGCATACATATCTTCGTCGGGATCAAACTCGCGAAAAGTGAATTGCCAGATACAGCATTTATCAGTTCCACAAGTAGGGAGGTTGCCTTTTTCATCAGCAAATGTGAGGCCCAGTTGAATCAGCTTGAGAAGGTCCACATTAGCCTTCAAGGTATTGAAATGAAAATCAGTGAAGTTTTTGAAATTCCCCAAAGGCTTAAGAACAACTCCAGGGAACTCTGTATCCATAGCTATATAGGGATAATCATCCACAATGTCTCTGATAAGTGCAAACTCTTCTTCCAGATTGTCATTCCAAACCTCCCTAATGTGAATGGAATCAATCGTAGGTAACAGAGTCATTCTTTCATTAAATTTGCACGAAATAACCAAAACCCACAAAACCCAGAAGCTCAAATCCAAAACCCCAAATCTGCAAAAGCAAAAGAAAGAAATCCAGAAAAAAAAAAAAAAGAGAAAACCCTGAATCATTAAAAACGAGAAGACCCAGATTCTAAAATAACACGTAAACACAAAACCCAACAACTTGAAAGGAAATCCGAAAGCTAAAACTGAGATCTGACCTTAAAGATGTAAACTTTACGGTGTTCAGAAGGGCTGGATTCTGGGTTATGAGTTAGAGCAAAAAATCGCCCAATTTCTTAACGTATGCTGGTGCGTTTAATCTATAGACTTTAAATCAATCAAAATTAAGAAATGACTAATGACAAATGAATGAGAGCTAGGGTTTTACAATTTAAAAATGAAAGACAAGTAAACTGAAAAATGGGGACCTTTTGGACGTCCCTAAACTCTCACATTTTTATTGGCATCAGAACAAAGGGAACATTTTCAGGTAAAAATAAAATCGAGTGGGTTAGACAGTGGAGTGGTGGGGGCATAAATAGAGAGGATTACGCATAAATAGAGAGGATTAAAAAGAAATTTGGGATTTTGAGTCTTTATGTTTGTTGTGATACTCTTCATGGTACTCGTTATTTTGCATTTTATTGGTCTCTTTTTTGATTGACTGACCACTTAGGAGCTAATCCATTGAATTGTTAATATTTTGGTAAATAACTTTGTTCAATATAACACGACTTACTGCTTAAAATTTAATTAATTAAAAATTTTTCATTTTAATTTTTTGTTATGAAATAACAACTGCATTATATTACTTTAGTAGAAATCCTCTAACAACAATTGATATGAAAAGATACGAAAGAACACGACTTACAATTATTATATTGCTATTGTTATGGATCACATATTTATGTATATATATATATAGAAACCGTATACAACAATAAATATATCACGTAGCAGGTAATTAATCTGATTAAAAATATTTCCCTAGTCATTCGATTAAACTCCAAATCATAAATATGTTAAATAGATCTACGATGTCTTAATCTCCTCGAATCGCATAATGCAAAGCAATGAGCGAAACTACAAACATTGCATCAACATAGAAGACACCATAGATACTACAACAAATAAAACTCTTCCCTCTAAATAGGCCACAATCTAGTAAAATTATAAGTAATAACACCCCCTTGATAGACTATGCTATTTGGAAGAAGCGATTTAAATAATTTTAAGAAAAATAATCCCGCTTATTAAACAATATAAATAACAAGGAACAAAGGAAAATTAAATCGATCTCACCCGATTAACCAATGAGTGAGCATGTAGAAAGAAGATTGTCTTTTGAAAGACGACTTTGATTTGGAGAATAGAGAATTTTTATTTCAACATGTTAAATAACAAAAAAAAAAGTGAAACTCTAAATAAAGGCTAGCAATACTGCCAGCATAATAATTAGCCGCTAGAGCAAATTATACATATTTTTCCAATACTATCCTTAATAGGTCAAACTGTAACTTTCCTCTGTGGCCTTCTTTACACTGCAACCCCTTACCAAAATCGTTGTGTTGTTCGATTAGCATTTAGCAATCCTCACCGAACAGACCATAATCAACTAATTATCCTCTTCCTAACATTTATTTTTATTGGCGACCATTACATAGCATTATATACAATTTCTTATCCCAATTTTAAAAGTAGAAACCAAAATCTTCTCAGAGTTCCAATCTTCAATTGCAATATAAAATCTAAGTTGTCAAACCTCAAAAAATTCATATCAAAGTGAAAAAGGGAAGGCTGTCAAATTTTGATAAATCCATGTTTAGGAAGAAGAATAAGATCCTTACCCACTAAAATATGAAAGCAAACCATTTTAGACAAACTCATCTAAAAGTAAGGAGCAAGGGCGTAATAATAGAACTGAATAGCAAAAAAAAAAAATCCACAAATCCAATTCCATTCAAGAAGCAAAATAGAAAGCCTCGTGCACTGAAAAGAACTCGCATGTAGAAAAGGCAAGTTCCTGTAAACTGAAACCAAAAACTCATGTTCTTTAACTTGTGGATGTGCCACGAGATTGAAGCTTTTGTATGCATTCCCATACTTGAGAGGGGTTTTAGACCTTCTTAATGGCAACTTTTTACCACCATTAACACGGAGAATTTTACGAGAAATTAGTTTTCAATTCTAGAATTTTTGAGGCAACTCATGCCCAAGCAACAAGAAGATGATAGGGTCCGGTTGATTACAAGAAATCTCTTCGTTGATCATTTGCAAGGAAATAGACTAGCCACCTATCCATAGAAGAGGGAGGAATATAGGAAATTCTAACCATCTTTGTCTTTTGTTCTAATCCACAAAAACTAAAGAAACGTCAAAGCAAAAAGGAAGAGATATAAAACAGTTTAACTAATTAAGGGTAATGTCGGGAAAATATGTATAATTTGCTCTGACAGCTAATTTTTGTGTTGGCATTATCACTAGCCCTTAATAAACTAAGTAGTACTGAAATTAAAATACAAAATATAAACAATAAAAATTAACTTACAGTAGAACATCGATAAATTAATAATTTTCTCCGGTCCCAAGGCGGGACCAGTACAAAAAACAAAGACAATAGATAAAATAATAAGATAATAATTTTTTAAAAAAATTTTATGTAAATATAGGTCCCATCAATAACATAATAAATTAATGACTTGAAAAAAATGAGCTAGTAAAATATAAATTTAGCGATGTTTATTTTTTTCTTGAAATTTATATATAAAGAAATTGTAGATGTTATAAATTTTTTACATGATGTATCAAGCTATTGATGAGAATTAAAAAAATTTCCTAGAAAAATGTCAAATCTTTTTTAATAGAGGCATGTCACGTAGATTGGGTATGTGATAAAATTTAACATGATGGTAGAGTCAAAATTCTAATGTATAGGGGATATAAGGATAAAAAGAATATAGATCTTATACGGCTAAGTTTAAAAAATTAATAAGACTCTTGGGAATTTTCTTTAAATTAATATTATTAGTTTATCGATAAATTAATAATTATTAATTTATTAATAAATTAATACATTGATAAATTTATAATTTTTTAAGTTCCTAACAGTATTAATTTATAGATGTTTAACTGTATTTCTTATTCCATAACTATTTAATAAATTCAGTACTTTTATTTCAGAATTAAACATTTAAAACTAAGCTTTATTTAACAAAAATGCCCAAGTCAAGTTTTTAATAGTTTTTTGCTTCACAAAAGTTTAATCTTTATGCCAATACACGGTGTGAGATTGAAATAGGATTTTCTTCTTTTCCTAATAAAAGTGTAGTAGATGAAATAAACTAAGGCCAACAATATTTTTAGAGCAAATAATACGACCCAGTCAATAAATTGTTGTCTTACCTATTTTATTCTTAATTGGTCAAGCTATTTCTATGACGATGTGCTAATTTTCTGTTCTTTTTTATTTCTCGTTCTTTGGCTGCTAAACAACATTGAAGTTCATTTTCTTCAGCCAAGGCCAAGCCAACTAGCTTTAGAACCACGAGTAACAAAACGAGAAAATAAAAAGGATTTGGTCGCATTTTCTTTGCCTTCCATGCCCTTTTTCCCTACAAAATGACCTTCAACGTCTAAATCATATGCGTCGCAGTTATATTTTCCTCTTAACGAACTGTAAGCTAAAAATTATCTCTGCTATGCAGCAGTATATCCCAATCGCCAAAAAAATAGTTTTATTAAAGTCCTTAGAAGTGTTTGTTTCTCTCTTTGATTAGGATATCTTCTTAATGGTTCTGGGGTTTATTTTACCATATTGGAATTATGAATTCTTTAACTCCAAAAATTGGCATGAAAATGAGTAATCTTGGTTGTAAAAAATGTACGATTATTTGAGCGAATAACCAAAAAATTTGCGAGAAGAAGTAGAATTCTACTTATGTTCAATCTTAAAAAAATTTCAGAAATTATTTGGTTTAACTAAGATTATTGCTCTATTGATTAAACACTTTGGCATTTTATTCTTAAAAAACTGGAAGTGAAATGGTGTCATAAATCAGGGTTGACTTAAAAGAATGAATGAATCGGTTGTTATAGAGAGAAAAAATCAAAACAACTGTTGAAGGAAAAAAAAAATGAGAATAAACAGGAGAGAGAAGTTTTTGACATTATGGGCAATATTTGAAAGAAATATTTGTTTTTTACTCTGAATGCTAAAAAATTGTGACAATATCACTCGCCCTAAAATAATATCACTAACTAACAAGAGATCATATTCATAAAAGATAGGAAACCTTGTTTTTATTTGGTTATAAAAAAATACTTTGCGACATGCGTCTTAACACGCGCTGCTGCAGGCGATAACACCGAAAGTGTGTGCGATTTGTGTCGTCTTCTCTCTGTGACTCTTTAACTTAGCACGCTGGTACCTCTGCGTATCAGCCATGGCAAGGCCTGCTAAGGGAAAGAAGATCGCGGTCTCGTCTCCTCAGAAGACTGCTAGGGTTGCAAAAAGTGGAATAGAGAAAGAAGCTGGGTCAAGCTTGAAGGTTCGACAGCAGAGTGAGCAGAGGTTGGGCAATTCAACTCCGGTACAAATTACTTCTCCTCCTATGGCATCTTTTGATTGTCGTACTAATTCTGTACTAGAGAAATTATGTAATGAAAGAATTGTGGAGTATGTGAAAGTAATTGATAAAAATCAGCAAGAATTAGGGCAGAGCAAATTGAACAAGAATTGGGGGAATTTTAATCTGGATAAGATTAGGTCTGCACATGTTAATATGGAATTTGTCGATCCTAAGATTGTAGCGGATAAGAAAATAGGCAAGATTCTTAAAGAAAATGTTGATGCGGAAACTGCCTACAAGAGTACCTCATGTATCTGCTATGTCTTGGGTAGTTATCCACCTTTTCATGTGATGAATGGGTACATAAGAAGGAACTGGAGTAGGTACGGGGTGGATAAGGTTCTACTTTTGACTAATGGTTTGTTTGTGGTACGTTTCCATGGTGTAGAAGGGAAGACTGTTGTACTTAATCAGCAATTCCATCACTTTGACAATAAGCCTTTGATTGTAAAGGATTGGAATGTGGAGGAAGGATTCAAATGGAGGAAATCTTAAAAGTTCCTATCTGGATTAAGCTTCCTGATCTAAAGCTCAAGTATAGGAACCCGAGATCCCTCAGTAGTATTACGAGTGCAGTAGGTCGTCCAATCAAAATGGATGATATGACTGCAACCAAATTGAGGGTTGGATTTTCTAGATTGTTAATTGAGATGGAAATATCTGGAGATCTTCGGGATAAGCTGTGGTTTGAAGACGAATATGGAATGATCGTTGAGCAAAGAATTGAGTACGAGTGGAAACCAATCATGTGCAAGGAATGTTAGGGTTACGGGCATGAAACGGTACACTGTAGGAAGAAACTTCAACAAGAGACCAAGCTCAAAGGATACAATTGAGGATTAACCTGCAACGTAGAAGAAACCTAGTAGTCCTACAAAGCTGAAAAGATCAAATACTCATTCAACAGAAGGGTAACGAAATCCAGCACATGGTGTTACTCAGACTGAAGGAA